CCTTTCATACCCTCCCGGTGCTTTCCTGCTGTGTAGTGTAGTGTCCACCCTTGTGACATGACACATACCTCCACACCTGTGCAGCATGCTTCTGACCCCCTCCTAGGTCGTACTGACATGTTGGTACAGGCAGAATGTCTTTCACCATGCAGTACAGCTGTCTGCCTCACTGGGTCCTCATGCATGCCACCGTGAGTCTCTTCCCAGCCCATGCCACGGTCAGTACCCCTTCAGTCATGTGTTATACAGAACTGGGTGTCACACCAGGTTCTTCCAAAGTTGTCAAAAGAAGTTTGTCCTCTGTGTCACGGGGGACCCCTTGCACCTGTGCCTCGCCTTGCTTAACCCCCGTTCACATCAGGCCCCTCTGTTACACACAAGAGTCAGAGCCCCCCTTACACTCATATCGAGTCCCTGCAAGTGATGGGCCTCATAGACCACAGGCCTTTAATCACCACACTCTTCTCGAGCTCCTGATGTGTCACGTGGAACTCCTCTCCTCGTGTTTCGAAGCCCCGCCTCTTCATGGAACACACCCCTATTTCATGGAGCCCACCTCTGCACGTATCACACTGAGACCTTCAACCCCTGCCATGCCTCATGGGGCTGTGTAACCCACGTGACATTCATCTCCTCCATGTCACGAAGTAACATAATGTATATGTGTCTCACTTAGCACTTTTCTCCCCTGTGTCATGGACACTTTCCTTTACAAGTGTCGTATTCAACTTCCCCTTTTCCTGTATCAAAGAATCCCTCCTTTATATGTGCCTCTTGGAACCCTTCCTCTCTCTCAGGGGTTCTGGAGCCCCTCCTGCACAGAAGTCATACTAAGCCCCTCCTCTCTCTTATGTATCCTGTCACCCCCTCCCCTATACATCAGATTCCTATCTTTTTTCTCTCACGTATCATGGATCCCCTCCCCAACTTGTGTCACCGGACCACTCCTGCCTGCCATACACCCCTCCCCAAGCCACATTTAATCCCTCAACCTCCCCAGTATGTCATGGATACCCTCCTGTATATGTATCCTGTGCAGACTCGGTCCTCTCCCCGCTTTTCCTGGGCACGTGAAATCCTGATCTCTGCTGTGTGTCACGGAGCCCCCTCCTGTGTATGTCCCTCTGAGACCCTCCTGCCTCTCATGAGCCATATAGACTGCCCCCTTCTCGTGTTGCTTGCACATCTTCTTCCCGTATGTCAGGGAACTGTGTCCCCTACGCACCGTGGAGCCCCTCTTGTGTCCCATGTTCCGTTGACTCTATCCCCCCCTCCTCCTGCCATCTGCTGCCTCTCTTACCACAATGTCAGGCTGCATGAACCTGTAACCATGTACATGTCCCAGGCAGCTCTTCTCTCCCCCTGAGTCACACTGTGTCCCTCTTCGTTTGTGTCACCCTGAACACTCCCTGGACCTGTCTTTTGACCTCCTTACTTTCCTTTCACATGCTTTCCCAAAGTATTTGGTAGCATTATTCCATTATTCAGAAATATCTGTTGGTTGCTCCTATGCTGAGACGGGCAGAGTGTGTGGGGAGGTGTGAGGCAAGGCTCACGGTGGGGAAGGTGGGCGTGGAGGTTGACAAAGAACACTCGGACAGGAAAGGTGTTTCTTTTTTGTACTTTATTAATATATTTAACGTTGGTGCAGATGTGTCATTCAAGCTGGACATGTTGTCACAGGCCTGTCAGTCATTCCAACACCTGGAAGGCAGAGGCAGGAATCTGGAGGATTCAAGGTCACTCTGGGTTATACAGCAAGACCCTGTTTTAAAAACAAACAGGCAAGAAAAAGCAGCTTGTGTTTTTATTTACAGGCAAGAGAAAGCAGTTTGTGTTTTTATTTATTCGTAGAAGTGTGTCATGAAAGCTGATCTGAGAACATTTCTCTCACCCTCAAAGAATCCAGGGCGCCCTTAGCTGTGCCTGCAGCTTGTCCCCTTAGTGTCCTGAACAGCTCTTCACTCTCACCTTGTCTTTGGGGTTCCATTGGGGGCTGTACAAGCTCCTGCTGGATCCCATGAGTCCCTTCTAGGTCTCCGGAGGAGCCCACCGGACACGCCCCTGGGAAGGGCTGTGGCTGGGCAGAATGGACCTCAGCAGCATACTTGGCACACCTGTGGCAACAGACATCCTTCCCTCCTTCTTCCCTCCCCACCACCTCCCTCTCCCCACTCTGCATCACCTGTATTGCCTCCAGAATTCCTAAGAAGTCAGGTCCGACAGTGAGGGTAGATAGTTCCACGTTGCCTAGGGCTGGCTGTCCCTTGCTGTCCTTTCTCTAACCACTGTCCTACCTGTTGTCTGGCTTGCCTTGCTTCTTTTCAGGAGGAGGAGGAGGAGGAGGGTCTCATCGTAGTCAGAAGTTGGGGGGTGGGAACGGCGTCATGCAGGAGTTGATTGCACAGCCATTCAGCTCCTATATGATGCCTTTCTTCACCCCCTTCAACCGCGTGTGGCGTCCAGACCCTCCTCTGCGCCTTGGGCTGCACAGGGACGCGTCTTCAGCTTGCTGTTTCCTGGCATGAATTCTCTCCTCTCCCCACAGCTCTCCAAGTTCCTGGAGGGGAATGCCTGGGGCTGGGCCATCTCTGAGGTCCTTCTTGGAGGCGGAGGCTATATCCCTTGTGGGACATTCCCTGGGGCTGGGCCAAGGGTCACCCTCTGACTCTGTGGCCAAGGGTAGACAGGTCAGAGGTCGATCCTAGGCCTACCCTGGGGCTTCTCCCACTGGGATTCCAGGAGCTGTTCTCTCCTGGAAGCTCTCTGAGGGGACCCAGCTCACAGGACAAAGGGGTGGATCCCAGAGAGATGGTGTCTTTGTTTCCAGGAAGTGGGTGGGTGGGGTGGAGGGGGCAGGGCTGAGACAGAGCAGGGCTGAGCCTAACCAGCGCTCCCAGAACAGGGTCTCCTTGAGGGGCCTCTGCCTCTATCCAGGATTATTTTTTTATGACCAGGAGGCTGAGGTCCCTTACAGGCGGCCTCTTACTATCTCCTTGAGCCCTTTTGGAGACGTCTCACTTCATTACTTCAAACTCTGGATCCCCTAAGGACTGTCGGAAAGCACCTCGTTCCCCCTCTGTGACACCCTGCCCAGACTGGATGCCCCTAGACACTTCAATAGCACGAAGAGCAGATGGCATAGAGATCCTTCTTATGTACCCCAGTAACTCAGGTCATTGCATGCATATGGGACCCATCTCCATCTCCATGACGCTACCATTACTAACTTCATTAACCAGCTATGGCAGCCAGCCCAGGCACACAGGAATGCCCTGAATGGGAATCTGTGAAAAGATTTGAGAGTGGGACAAGGAGGACCCGGGCCCCATCTTTCCCTTTCCCACCCCTTTCCACCGTCTCTCTCCTCTCCCTGTTCCCTTCCTCACCGCCTCCACCGCCCTCGTCCTACCTGTGCACCTCGTGTCTCTCGTGGTGTCAGGAAGGTCATGCTGCTCCCTGAGCTCACAGAGGTCGATGGAAGTCCGTATGAAGCTCGCTGTTCACATCTCAGATCATGTCTGATGGCCATAGATCATAACAAGTGGTCCCCTGGGCCCAGCGGCAGGGCTCAAGGTGGGTAGGGGCATTTGGGGGGTGGTGATGGTTCCTCTGTCACCTTTCCCTTTCTTACTATGGGGCCAACCCCAGTTACCCACTCATGCAGGGATCTTCTGCCTCTGCCCCAGCCTGGTTAAGAGCTGGTAAAACTCTTGGCTCAGGGTCCTGTGTTGGGACCCCTAGTGTGAGCCATTGCCACTTGTAGGAGGGAATAGCAAACCCTGCCCTGCTGGTGAGTAGCTGGAATGTATGCCGTCTCTGGCTCTGGAGTTGCTATGCTGTCCTGGAGCCCGCAGGGACATCTTATAAGGGCAGGACGAGGGCAAGGGAGGGGACAAGCAGGATGGCCAAGGGAGGGCCTTGTGCTCTTCTTTGTTCCTGATTGCTGTCAGAACTCTCTGGATGGGGTCTGAAGCTGGGAGGTGGGGGCACCTCCTCAGTGGGTGGAGTCTGCAGCCAGGGCCTGGTCTCTGGTTTTCACCTTTCCTGTGGTGGAAGTGATGTCATCAGCACCTAGCAGGAACTTTCACACCAATTTCTTTCTTTGCTTTTCTCTTCCCCAGGAGTAAAAAGGTTTGTGTTGTGCTTTTCAGTCTCTCTTTATAAGTGGCTCCATGATAACCTGATAACCTACTGTTTCAGCACGTCACTGGTTCTCTTTACAGTCTGGGCTGCCTTCTCCTGTAAATGGGGACGAAGCCCCTGCTGGGTAGATTGGCAGGCCAGCGGGCCTTTATTGGTTCTTCATAGTTTGTGTATGTATGGGCTGTGTGGGCCAGTGCACCCACCTCTGATCAACATCATTGGCAGCCTCTTGTCAGGCTGCTGGCCCACTGATGAGTTCTCTTTTTCACCATTTCTCACACTTGCTATGGAAGGCCTTGTCTCCCCTGGCAGGAGCAGGGAAGGGCCATCTGTTCATCCATTGCTCCCAAAGCAGAATTTTGTTTTTCAGGCCCAGCTTTGTGGGTACAGGACTGGTGTGTTTCTTCTCCCCATTCATTACCCCAGTCCCACCTCAAGGTCATGGACCCTTCTTAGGAATGCCAATCAGAGTGTCATGGGGGCTAGGGAGTGCTTGAACCAAGGACCCTGACTCAAAACTGACCTCTCCTTAGGACGCCCTTTAGGAGCTAGGAAGGCAAGTTAGTAGAAAAGTAGTCACCCTGCCACTTTGGGCAAGGGACTTCTGTGAGTAGCCTACCAAGGGGAAAATGGAATTCTTGGAGCCAAGCCTCTGACCTTGATCCAAAGTGTGTCATTCTGGGGCTACTATAGATCGGTAGATAGAACGATGTTGTGATGTCAGCAGTATGTGGTGTCTGAGACTCTAGAGAACATAAAAGCCAGGAGCAAGGCTCCCCAGGCCCTCAGTGACTTCAGCTCTCTGCAGTTTTACGATCTTCTCATTAGATGACACCGACAAGTCCCTGGATGGGATGGAGGGTAGAAACTCTGTGTTGGTTGCTCTCAACTTTGTGATCCTTTTGAAATCTTATAGAAGGCCCCCTATGTTCTGCATGGTAGGAGAGGTTGTCCTGTATTCAGGAGCTTATTGGAGGCCATTGGGAACTTTCTTATGAGCCAGAGGAAATGCTGAGATGAGGCTGAGCCCCTGACCTTAAGCCTGGGATCCTGCCCATGATCTCATGGTGGTACCGTCAGGGGTAGAGTACTTGTTAAGGAGACTAGGCAGCAGCCAGTTGCCTCTTTAGCCACATAAGGGTACAGTTATCCTGGTGTGGGCTGGAGAGAGCATGGAGGGATACGATCTTGGGACCTCAGGAGTGTCTCTCTGGGACCCAAGCCCAACTCTGCTGCTACATGTGGGGACTTCCTTAGAGCAAGAGGAAGTGCTGAGATGAGGCTGAGCCCCTGACCTTAAGCCTGGGATCCTGCCCATGATCTCATGGTGGTACCGTCAGGGGTAGAGTACTTGTTAAGGAGACTAGGCAGCAGCCAGTTGCCTCTTTAGGCCCATCAGGGTACAGTTATCCCGGTGTGGGCTGGAGAGAGCATGGAGGGATACGATCTTGGGACCTCAGGAGTGTTTCTCTGGGACCCAAGCCCAACTCTGCTGCTACAGGTGGGGAGCTCAAAGCCGTGAGGGAGTTTGTCACATCATGCTGGGTATTCAGGGCCTTGACACATTATCAGGATAACTCAGGGACAGGTTTCAGGCAGGATGTAAAGGCAGAGCTAGTATCTCTTTGGGAGGCACCTGTGCATTGTATCTCCATAATGTCATAGAGGTCACACTGGGAGGGGTCCTTGGTTTTGTACCCCTAGCCTTTTCGCAGACTTCCTGTGGGGGGGGGGTTGTTCCTGGGTAGGGCTATAAACTGAGTAAGGGCTATTTCCCCTATTTCCCTACTCCCTCAGAAGTCCCTCCCACCTCCCCAGAGCAACGTGCTCTCAGGATAAACATTTTTAAGGCAAGGATTCAGGCCTTCTGAGGGGGGGGGGGGCGGCAACTGTAGGAATGGTTTCAAAGCAGTCCCTGCCCACCCTCCGTAGCTGGGGGCATTGAGCACATTTTGGCCATTTTTTGCTTCTCATGTGACTAGAAGGCTGAGACCAGGTGAGGACAAGGATTTCTGGGCACCCTCTCTGCCCTATGAACCCTGTGTCCATTTCCCATGTGTAGTTCCCCTTGGAAAGAGCCTGAGGTGGCCAGAGTGAAGTGGCTTCCCTCTCTTTGGGAAAAGAAGGGAGGCCTGTTGCTGTGTGTCTCCATGGGCTGTTTCAGCCGAGAGTCCAGCCCTCCCATTCCCTTCCTTTCCACCCTTGAACTTTCCCACCCCAACCCTCTCTACACCCTCCATCCTTCCTGCCCCCACGCTCATTGTTCCCCAAACCTGTCTCCTTCTATTCACCTCTTCCCTTTTAGAACAAACCACAAAGTCAGATGATCTTTTATTTTCTTTATTTGTACAGCAAAAGCAGGTGTGGGCTGGGAAAGTATGGGAAGGATTTCCTTCCCGTGGCAGAAAGCTGTGGTCTGGTCAGAGCACTCTTGGCTCCTTGGCCCAGTCGGCTGGACTTCTAGGACTTTGCCCATGTCTCTTGGGGGCTCCCTCCTTTATGTGAGGTCTCTGTCCCCTGCACTGTCCACATTTCAGTTTGGGGAGGGAAAGGGAGCCCCATTTGGTGCTACCACCCTTTGTGATGTCCCCTGATTCTCAGGGGACCCTTAGGGCAGGCAAGTCCATCAGGTAAGTCACACTGGTACGTCGGATGCTCCGTGGAGCACAGCTCTGCCCAGGTAAGATCAGAGTTCAGGGTCAGATGAAGTGTCAACGGAGCTGGACCAGATGGGTAGTGGGGGTGGGGCTTGCTTGCAGGGTGGGCTGGGGTTGTGGGAAGCATGGCACCTTGGGAGGTTGGGAGGGGTGGGGGCGGGGCCCAGGGAAGTTGGAGCACCGGTGTGGAGGTAGAAGTCAGTGGAGCACCCAAGGTCAGTGTCCCAGGATGCACAGGCGTCCGCATGCCACTCGGGTGGTGGGGGGTCCCTGGCATCTGCTTGCTTGCCTGCGCCTGCTGTGCCTGCATCCGGCCTGGGGTGACACGGGGTCATCATTGCTCATCACTGCTTTCTCCTCATTGATCTCACTCCCGGCTGTGGGCCTGGGGCCTGGACAGTTAGGACAGGGTTACACAGTTTTGGCTGGCTCTGGGACGCTGACAGTTAGCTAGTCCTTTAGCACAGATGATTTCGCTGGTTGATGAGTTGAAGTGATGGCCCTTCACAAATGGGTTCCCCTTGGGTCAGGAGTGACAAGAGGGGGCACTGGATTTGAGTGAAGCTGGCTGAGGCACAGGAGAGCACAACAGAGACTTTGATGTGTGTTTAGTCAAGTTCATCATCTGAATCAGACAGTTCTTCCAGCCTTGCCCGTTCCCTGGCTGTGGAACGGTTGGCCATTCTGTAGGCCATGGTGAAGAATCGTGCGAGGGCCCGGGCCACCTCATCTCTGCTAAGCAGAGTGAGCCGGCCATCGGCACCAAGGATGTAGAGTAGGCGGTTGTTGAGGAAGTCTAGGACCTCGGGGTCCATCAGGTTTCGTGGGCGGACGGTGACCGCTTCTTCTCGGTCAAGCAGGTCCTCTTCTTGCACGTCGTTGTCCTGCGCGTCCTGCGAGGTGTCTTGCAGGCCGTCATGCAGGCCACACTGACGGTAACGTTGCAGGTCGTCTTGCAGGGCTTCTCGCAAGACGACATCTTCATCGCCAACGACGTGCAGCTCTAGGTATCGGGGCTGGTGCGGGTCAGGAAAACTGTCCCCCTCGGGGTTGGCTCTCACGCCAAAGAACTCACACAGGGTCAACCAGAACCCAGGGGTGAACCGTATGCCCCGTGGGGGCTGCGTGTGCAGGGCATTCCGACGCCAGCACCTCGGGCTCAGGAACAGCTCAGCCAGCTCTCGAGCAGGGATGGTATTGGCACCCGCTACAGGGGGCATCTGGCTGAGCAGTTGGGCGATGGCTGTGGCCATGCCACTGCTTGCGACAAGGGTTGAGTCCAGGATGAGTCGGAGCGTGGGCTGGGGCTGAGGCCTGGCCACCTCCAAAGAGGGGGCAGGCAGTGGGGAGAGTTGCTGCTGCCTCACCCTCATCATCACTAGGAGGACTGCCACCCCCAGGACGTTCTTCCAATAGAGCAGGCCCCGGAAGAAATGTAGGACAACGGATCGGATTTGGGCCACGCTAAAGCGGGCTAGGAGGCTGTTGAGGATCTGGTTTATTGGGATGGCAGACAGGAGCTCCTGCAGCCCATTCGGCTCATCCAGTGACTCCTGTTCTGATTCTTCTTCACTGTCTTCGCTGTCCTCCTCGTCCTCGTCCTCGGAATCAGAGAGTGGCTCCCTGTGGCCTCCCCTCATGGCCAGGAGCAGCAGTGGCCGCATATAGCTTCCTTTTAAGCCTCTATGAATTCGACCTCTCCCAAGGTACAGGGCTCGGGCATCACGTTGATCAGGCAGCTCCATAACATCAAAGTTGAAGTGAGAGAAGAAGAAGACCCAATGCCCGGGGAGAAGTACGGTGAGCCTGTCATTATTCAGAGAGGCTAGATCCTCTGTGTTGAGAAGGATCATGATGGGCTCCTCGGTGTTCTCCAGGTAGCGGCACCACACCATGAAGGAAGCCCGGATTGGGAGGATCCTCATCTCCACTTGAGGGTACTCTACCTCGATTGGGGAGAGGTGTCGTGAGTAGAAAGCACAGGTAGCTTTTTTGCCAGTTGCCTCATCAGTCTGGAGCAGGGAGGCATACATGAATGGCCCGTTGGTGCCTGTCTCCAAGTAGAATGGGTTCTGAGGCTTCGGGTGGTAGAGGAGGGGCGACCTGCGGAACGCCCTCTTCAGGGACTCAAAGGCCTCCTGCTCCTCTTCCCCCCAGGAGAAGGGCTCTGTGCTCAGCAGCTGCCTCACCAGGGGCTCCGCGATGATGGCGAAGTGCTCCACGAAGTGGCGATAGGGGTAGACAAGTTCGATCACGCTTTGTAGGCACCTTCTGTTGAGGGGGACAGGGCACCCCGTGATGAGGTTCATGAGCGTCTTGTTCAGTTTCACCCCTTTGGGGGACAGGACGAAGCCCAAGATTTCTGCGGTCTGGCGGTGGAACTGGCTTTTGTCTAACGAGCAGTAGACGTTGTGGTAGCGGAAGCGGACCAGGACTTGGCGGACATGCAGGGAGTGCTCCTCTTGGCTCATGGAGTAGACCAGGACCTCATTCCTGTGGCAAATCACGTAGAGACCTAGGATGTCTTTTAGGATAAAGTGAATTTCGTTGTCCGCTTCGTCGGAGTAGGAGTTTTGTGTGAAGGGCCGGTAGCATCTCATCTGGTGCATGGTCAACCCGAATGCCGCTCTCCATGTGTCTTCTGTGCGCGTGAAGCTGTAGTCCACATCCTCTTCCTTAACCTCACCCCCAAGTAGCTCCAGTTTTGTGAACCATGCAGCTCCATGTAACTGGTCAAACAGTTCTGGTATCATCTGTATGTAGTCCTGTCTGTCAGTCAGCATGTCATACAGTACCCAGTATTCCTCTTGCTGCCTGGCTTTGTCTTGTATCCTGGAACGCAGAGGTTTCGCAGCCTTTCTGGGACGACACTCGAAAAAGACGTCTCTGTGATCACTGTCTCCAGCCTGCTGAAGCTCAGAGGGCTCTGATTCAGAAAGATCATCGGATCCGTCTGAGCTTGGCTGGTCGGAAGTCTCATCATCTGCTTCTTCCTTCGGGTTAAACACGTCGGCCAGGTCTGAGTATGTTGGTGGCAATCCGGGTAGCAGGCTGAAGCTGTATTTCTCCAGAGCGATGCATGGTGGGGGTGCTTGGAAGCAATTCCTCAGGCAGTAGGGAGAGTGGAAGGTGCAGCGGCCTCTGTGCCAGTCAATTTCAGGGTCGTGGGTTCGGAGCCACTTCATGCCTAAGACCACGGAGAAGTTGGGTGAAGGTACGATGTCAAATTCGATGGACTCGTAGTGTTTCTGGTGGACACACAGCAGAGGTTCGGTGTACAGCCAGACAGGTTCATTGCCGATCAGGGAGCCATCCACGGTTTGGATCGTCTGTGGGTACGTTTTCTCATAGAGCTCCACGTAGTGCTCTTGGGCAAACCTCTCATCCATGTAGTTCCCTTCTGCTCCTGAGTCCACCAGGGCCTGCACCGCGACACTGTGGTAGGGATTCACCCTCACCAGGAGCAGCAGGAAGAGGTGGTCACGATCAATGTCTGGGTCACACGCATGGGGCAGCCAGCTGCTCACCATCCACTTCTCCGGGGCAGGTGAGTCGATCCAGGTCATGTTCCGGGGGCGGGACTCCGGGGGCAGCCTGAGCACAGCCCTTCTCTCTGCCAGCTTATCTTCAATTTGCAGGACCAGCACGAACAGGTTCTCCAGGGAATCTGGCTGAGGGATCCGGAAGAGATAATGCCTGATGTCTTCATTGAGCCCCTGGCATAGGTGGGCCTGCAGGACTTCATCTGGCCAGCCTAAGGTGGGTATCAGACTCTGGAACTCATTGATGTAATCAGCCACGGAGCGTTTGCCCTGCCTGATGTTGAACATGGCATTTTCAGCCATGCGCAGTGTATTCCGGTACTCAAACTTTTCTGACATGGCCTCAAGGAAGGCTGAGAAGTCGTGTATCACCGGGCTGTTCTGCTCCACCAGGTCGTTTGCCCAGTCTAAGGCCAGGTCACACAGGTGGCGCATGACAAACTTGACCCGCAGGGGATCGTTGTAGAACATTGATGGGTAGCTCTGTAGGGTCACTTGGCAGAGCACAATGAACTCGTGGTAATCTCTGCGATCTCCAGAGAAGGGCCTGATGGGGGGCAGGCGGCCTTCATCAATGGCTCGCATCACGATGCGCTCAGCCACTCTCTGTTGTTCTTGGACGTCTTGCATTCGGAGGTACGTGTTTATGATGGACCCCATCATGGCCATGATTTCTTCTGGAGATTTTTCCGGTTGATCCCCCTCTTCATCCTCATCCTCATCATCATCCTCATCCTCATCATCATCATCACTTAGGTCAGTGTCATCTTCCTCTGACGGGGTCTCAGATACGTTGATTGGTGGATCCTCCATGCTTTCAGATTCCTCACTGAATGAATCCGTCTCTTCCTGTTGTGAACCATCACATGACTCCTCCGTATTTTGGTCATTGGGTGAAGCCTCTCCTTCTTCATGTGGGCCACTGAGTGGCTCTTCCATGTCTTGTAGTGGATCAGTTGGAAGCTCTTGCATTTCCTGGGGGGGGCCACTGGGTGGCTCGTTGCTTTGCTGGGCTGGGCCACTGTCGGAGCCCACCACCTCGGCCTCCGCTGCGCTGCTGCCTGGTGCCTCCTCAACGGTGTTGGATGAGCCCTCGGAGGACTCCATTTGTTTTGATGATGGATTCTTAAGCTCCATCATCGTCTCAAATGAGTCTTCAGAGGGTTCTAGCATGTCGTCGATGGGAACGGCGGGCGCTCTGAAGACGGGTAAGGTTGTGATGTGTGTGCTCAGAGGCCGAGACCAGGGAGACCTGGACCTAGGGACAGAAGGGATGAAAGCAGGAAGAGAAGCAGCAATTTAGGGTTTCAAGATGTCAGGGTCAGATTCTCAAGGACAAACCAGATGCCCAAGTAATTAGAATCAGAGAAAAAGCAGATAAATTCTTCCTGCATTTAATGCAAGCCTCCTACTCTGGTCACTTGGGGCACCTTGAGGGGAAAGGCTCTTTCAACCCCTGACCTGCCTCCCAGGCGGAGCCTGACTGCCCCGCCTGCCTACTTCCTCCTCTGGAATGAGAAATTCACAGCCCATAAATTTTGTGGAGCAACTGGCCCAGAGCGTCCTCCGTGGCAAGCAAGCACCTGGCAGGGCACACTTCTGGCCCATTTTGCCCTGGCACCAATGCCTGGTCAGTTTCCCTTCCTGTGTCTAGTCACTCGAAAGTCACAAGGGTCATATCTCAATGCCACTCAAAGCCACTGCTGGCAGGCTTGGTGGTCTGGAGGCAGCCCAGTGTGCTTGATTGGAGGCGGGAATCTGCAGGGAGATGCCTGCTGTTTCACAAACTCTAGGGAAAGAGGAGAAATTGGGCACTTGGCCACTATCCTGCCCGTTGGGTCAACAGCCAAAAATAGCTCTTATTTCCTCCTCCAGGTTCCAACCCGAAATAAGTGGGAGTGAGGTGTGGCTTTCGGTTTTAATTTTCTCCCCATCAATGCTCATAAAATTCCTACTGTGTGCTGAAGACTAGCACTCTGCTTGCTTGCTTCATCCTAGGTCACCCTTTGTAGGGAGAAGGGGACATTTCTCTTTTTCAATTTGATCTCTGTCCCAAAGCCACATTTTCTCCAGCTGTAGATTTCCAAAAGCCCTTCCCAGCCTTTCAAAAATCTCCTCTCCCAGGATTGCCGTGGTCTGCAGGACTCCTGGAGCTACAAACATCTGGCCTCAATTCTGCTCATGAAAACATTTCTGCATACCTTTCGGATCCTATCTTCCCAAGTTTCCCCTCTTCTCAGGCAGGGCCAAGCTTTTCATTCTTGAAAGTGCCCCCTTTTCTCTGTCAGTGTTGATTTCCTCTGGTACAGGGGTGTATCTAACAGAGGTATGAGGTTGGGCGAGACACGGCTATGGGACCTTTGAAATCTGATTGGTAATTTTTGAAAATCTGATCATGAGAGGGTTAGTGCACGGAAATTGAATTTAAAGGGATGTATTTGTTTGCAAAACAAATTAGGCTCGTGATTCAATAGCTCAGCAATATAGCTATTATCTTTATGAATTCAACACCTTCTGCTACTTCTCGGTTTTCTTTTTTAGGGCCCCTGGGCTGACCCATCCAAGAAAGGGGGAAAAAATCTCCATGCTGTCCTTTATGTAAAACTCCCATTGGCTAAAATCCAAACCTTCTAGCAGGGTACAAAATTTGGACCTGCAGTTTCTCAGAATTAGACCTACCCTTGTTAGCATGACACTTAAATTTGATCATGCAATCCCTCTGATTAAAGCCTCTCTCTGTTTATTTACTGTCTGCAATATTAAATCCAAACCTATTGTATAAACACGTCTGACATGTAAACTTGCCAAAACCCTTTTTCTGGCTAAAATTGAAAGGCCTTAACATAATGCACAAGTTTGACTTGTCATTCCTGGAGGCAGAGATCACAGTTTCTAAGACTGGTGTACAAACAATCAACTCAGAAGCATGGACGGCACATTGCATAAATCAACTCATTTCCTTTTTGCAAAAGTCCACTATTATTGAAATGTAAAATTTGATAATTCATTTGATAATTCATGTTCATCTGTTGGACATAAAAAAATATCAAAGGTCTCCCACTTAAAATAGCTCATGGTTTCTATTTTAAATTTGTAGCAGTTTGATTTTAATAGTAGATGATACACCGTTTCAATAAATGTCTATACTTAAAATATTACTGCCAAATTTGGTCATGTAAGTGATCAAATCTTTCTCCTTTCCATCCTGCAACCAAAAATCTCATGCCCTAAAAACTCTTACATGCCTGGATATCAGAATAAACTTTTAGCAAGATAAACAACATTTATTTTAATGAATTTCCTATCAACACACACACACACACACACAAAAAAAAAAAAAAAACAAACCATGTTTCTTTTCTATAGCATAAAGTTCTAATTGCTTGCCATAAATTGGTTAACCACGTGATTTAATTGACAGCTAATCAATACAAAATCCACAGTTTCACAGGCCAATCCAGAAATCTTTTACTATCTTCATTCCAACATTCTCACTCAATAACAAGAGTTTGTACTTCTTGCAACATGTGGTCACTCAGTGGCTCCTGCTTCTGCTCACAGGCTCACAGAGTCTCTGCCTTACCTATAAAACCAAGTCTTAAAGTGCCATCACAAAGCCACACATTTCTCAGCCGACTGAGCCTATCCAAAATGCAAAGTTCATGATATCATTCTCCTAAAATCTCATCATGGCGGCAATCCAAATTCTCAGCGTGGCACAACAGCCTGTTCCTTGCATTCTTCAACACCGTGTCAAACTTGACATGGTACGTAAATGTCATATAACTTTCCAACCCTGTCTGTAAGTGACTGCACTTTTCAGCACAGAAACCCCACTGGGTGCCCTTGTACCAAGAGGCCAGTGGACACTCACCCATGCATTAAACAGCTCATCAAATCCACACACCTTAGCCTAAAGCATGTTTTAAGTCATCAAATTCCTCTGGAGACAAAACTCTTGACCATTTCACTCCTTAAAACTCTTCTCTGGCCAAACTCCATGCGCGTGCGCCCACCCCACAAAAGGCTTAAAAATTATATCTCACCCTCACTCAGGATGCGATAGTGCCTTCAATGTGCACAGGGGTCCTATCCTAACTGTGTTACAATATCCGCTCTCTTCTCTGCTGAATTCATAAGCTGTAAGGCGTCACTCCCAGATTTAAGACGTTGCAAAGTTTCTTTGTAGCATAAAGCTCCAAATTCTTAACAGACAGTGCAGTATCTTATCATGTCACTTACCTCTGGGCTGGGCTATTAAAAAAAAAAAAATCAACAACCAACAAATCTTCCCCCACCACACTTTTAAGCCATTTGTTGGCTTAAATCCAAACTTATTCCAGTGATATTATAATCTGATATGTCATCCCTTAAAATAAAATTCACACGTCTTAGCACAGTTCATTAAATTTGAGCTTGTAACTCCACCTTAAAAGCCCTGCGATGTCTCCTAATTGTGCACGACATAAAAAGTCCAGATTCTTGGCATACGGCGAGAATTTGATTTCATAACCATGCTATGTTGTATCTATCAAACACAAAAAAACTCACCATGTCACTCCGTTAGAATTGGATAAATCAAATTTTTAAGCATGTGCAAAAACCTCATCACGTCAGAGCCTCTAAATAAATTCCAAATTTCTCTGCACAGTCCCCATCTCGGGCATGTAACTCCTCTAATTAAAACCTTTCCTCAGTGTCAACATTAATCATATCTCCTTGGCATGCCCTGAGAGTCAAACTTTGGCATTCTCTCAACATATAAAGTCAGAGTGTTTGGGCATGATCTTTAAATGTGTGCCTGTTAACTTTCCTATTTATGATTTCTCAGTGTTTCTTCTTGCTTGTAATAATAAAGTCCAAAGCTGTTAGCCATAAAATATGTTTTATCATGCTTTCTACAGGCTTATCTCCCACAAGCAAACAATCTCACCCCTAAGTTTTTTTTTAAAGCCTTTTGGCGGAAGCCCAAAGCCCTTAGTGTGATAGAAAGTTTTGATCCTGTCACCCCACCAAATAAAGTCCAGATTTCTACCCCAGAAATCCAAATCAATTCACAAAACTCTCGCTTATGATCTTTTCATCCATTTCCAGTAACACTAAAAAGTCCCCCTATCTCTGTGTGACAGCCTCATTTAATCAAGGCATTCTCAGCTTCCAGCCTTTCAGATTTCATGCCCATGACATAAAATCCAAGCACTTCAGTGCTGGAGCAAGTATATCTTGTGTTGAAAACCTATAGATCACTCCATGTGCCTGGGGATCTAGAGCTTAAATTGTTTTGCATGAAATACAAAATTTTAACTATCTGTAGCTTCCTTCCTCTTTTCTCCTTAGGCCTTTCTCTGGAACAACTGAATCTCGTGTGCTCCCATCCTAAACCCATCTTGACTTTGTTGCTAAAATAAGTCTTCAGTCTATTAGTTTACCCAGCATCCTCTTCTCATTCTTTTCTGGCTTAGGTATCCTTCTTGGACCCCCAAAGAACTGGAGATGGTACCTGCGCATAACCCGTCAGCAGCCAGGAGGCATCACTGTGTGCTGGATATCAAGGCTCTGCAGGGGTGAGTGAGAATGTCCTGTGGCAAGAGGAGGGAACCTCTACACCAGGTGGCCCGGTTCAGGGTGGACATATGCTTGTCCATATGCCATCTTTGCTTTCTAATGTCTTCTGACGATCACTAGGCTTAATCTGGCTCCTATTCTCCACCAGCCCACCCTTCTTGCCTCTGGGCCATGTGGAAGGAACCTTCTCCATCCTTCAAATGCATCTCAATGTATGTTCTCAAACCTTACATAATTTCCCTGATTTGGAAATCAGGAATCAGTCTGGATCTAGCACTTAGGGTTGGATGGTACCCTTCAAGTCTCTTTTGGGACCCTCTACCCCACAATACTCCAAGACAGACACCCCAGTCTCACCACTCTTAGTGCCCCAAGACTCGAGATCAGGTCAGCTCCTTGCTTGCCTCTGAGCAAGTGGCCCATGGGGTCAGGCCTGCCACGGGGCATCTATGAAGGGTTCAGTAAGGGGGGGTGCGGGGGGGGGGCAAATCCCTCAGCGAATACCTTTCCCTGTACAGTAAAGGAAATCTGATTTTAAAAATAGAGCTTGGAAGAGGAGATGAGAAGATATTTAGAAGCAGAGTTGAGTGTTGAGCATGGGGCGGGGGTGGAGGGGAGGTGGTTTGGAGGAATTAGGGGAAAGGTGAGGACAGGGGAGGGGGGAGGGAGCCACTCTAAGATCCCAGGAGGAGGGCAAAGCCAAGCAGAGGAGATAAGGGCAGCCATGGCTCTGTAAGACTTGCCATGTCATACCAGTGGTCTTGGTCGCAGGGTGCACCTCAGATGGAGACCCCTGTTACTTGGACTTCTTTCATGAGACATTCAGAGGCACTTTAAGAGTGAGGGACACTGCCGCCAGGTCTTAAGGACTAAGTGGCTCAGAATAAATATCTTTCTGTCATTCCTCCAGTGCCCTGGCCTTCTGGTGGCATGGATGGGAATGAAGCACCAGAATAGGAGTAGACATGCAAGGACAACGAGGCACACAAATTATGTTATTCACTTATTTTGTTAGACAAATGTCACGGTCAAGATATGTCCTTGGCGGGCAGAGCCTTACGATACTCAACATTTTCCCTGGTGGATAATAGTGTGTTAGCTCCTCTTCATATTCATCTTGCTGGGTGGCAGCAGCAAAACCCTCAGCAGGGCCTCTCAAATGCCCTACAAGGAGCTCAGGTCAGATGCCATGGTCCCAGCACCATTAGAGTCTGCAGAGAGAGGGGGTGGGGTTGGGGGTGGGGGCAAGCACTTATCTAGGCCTACTTACTCCACCCTGACTTGGGCATCTGAGACTGGAGACCCTTCATCTCTCTCTGCCCCGGGAGACATAGCACCCCCCCCCCCGCCCCGCTGCCAACCTGGTGATCGAGATAGAAATCCTCAATCATTAGATCTTTAGCCCTATGTTGCGGCAACCAAACTTTTTGAAGGGGGATTCTCAGTACTAAGGGTAGACAGTGAATCAGAGTGGATGGAAGACCCTTTCAGTCTTGAGCTTCCTACCAGGATGGGAAGCCTCTAGCAGAGGGCCTTCAGCTTGTTGCTAGCCCAATCATGCAAAGGCAGAGCAGCGCCCTTGACCCAGTAGCATCCTGTCCTGGCCCATCCATGTTTAACTGGCAGCTTGGGGGGCAGCTGGATCACTCTCCCAGAATAACCATGGAAGGGGAGAGTGTGCCACTATGGGAGGGGCTGTGACCCAAGGGAGCTCACTCTTCCTCTTTGGGCTGCCCCCAATTGCAGAGCCAATCAGCTGCTCCTGAGTCTAAACTTTCCTTTCAAGGCATGTGGGCAGAGAGGGATGGAGCCTGCGCAGCTGCTAGCCTTGTTAGGTCCAGACCTTCTTTTTCTGGCCCTCAGTTTCACCTTTGGTTTTCTTGATTTCTTCTGGGGTTTCTGAGTGTTGCTTGAGGGCTCCCCAGGTTGTGCAGGCAAAGGTAGGGCCTGAGAGAGCTGGTGGAGCTCAGGGGTTCCTGACCTCCCTTGGCTCTAATAGCCTTGCCTAGGAATTAGGGTCCTAGTTTTATTTACATAGAAGTCTTCCAATCTAAGCCATGATTGGCTTCTCCTGGCATCTGCCTTGATGATACAGCTGTTTTCCTGTCTCTGGCAAGCCCTTCACCATGTCTGGTGCCATGATGGCAACACCTTGGATGCACCTTGACTGCTGCACGAATAGGAGTGGCCGTATGTTGGATCTTAGAGGTGGTGACTTCAAGGCAGAAAGACCTTATCCCAAGGGTTGTGAGAGGTAGGGCCATGGAAAGAGGGTGGCCAATTCTGCAACTCCCCCTTTTTCCTTTTAGAATGGGAATGGGGTGTTTCCTTTGTAAACTGAAAAACCATGCAGGAGTCTGGGCCTGCTTTTGTTATTTGGCCTTATCTGATCATTGCTTTTGGAGCACCCACTCTAATTTAGACAGCATTGCGCATTCGGCATCAACTTTAATTTTCCCATTAGCCCCATGAGGGGAGCAAGCCCTGCACCGAAAGAAAGCACGCTAGAGTCAAAGGGCGGACCTGCTGTCCCGAACCCTTGATTCTCAGTGGCAAGAACACAGACCACAGACGCACAGCGGGGACGAGTACCCTTACCCACTGCAGAGAGTTCTTGATGATTATTCTGTAAAGGAGAGGGTGTGGCCACCCCGAAGACCTTAGGTACTCCAGCCCCATGCCTCAGACAGGGCTAACTAGAAATTTTCAACCATAGTAAAATCTGCCCAGTGCTATGCTATATCTCCTCCTCCAATTCCATGGGTGGAGGGGCTCTTTGCTATTTTGCACAGTTAAAGTGACATTTGGAGGCCTTGGTGCTAACTCCCAGTACCTAAGGAAGGCAGAGGCAGGGCCAGGGCTCTGAGCCAGGTTTCTCCCCCTCCCCTGGTAGATGGCACAAGCAGAAACAGGTGCCCAAGGAGGGATCAGGCAGTTGCCATTTGGGGACCTGGAGGGCCTCCTGGCCAAAGGCTGCCTCATTCCATGCTGTTGATGTGGTCAGTCTCATGATTTGACAGGCAGCCAGATAAAGAAGTGGGGGCCCAAGTGTCTGCCTCCATCTCCCCAAAAGGCTTGTGCTGTCATTCCAGATTCAATCTGGCTTATTTGGTGTCAGCAGAGGGATAGGATGGGATAAGACAGCTGGCTGAGGCGCCACTAATTATAGCTGCTCAAGTATTTGAACAGAGGTATTGAGTACCCCAGAATATGTCCAAACTAACCTTTAACCTTTAGTCCTGAGCATGGCCACACCCTATCCACTGACCAGATGTCCCCCCTTTTCACTGGCCAGCATGGAACCCCTAACCCTGCTTACCTTGGCTGCTGGTGTCCAAGTAGATCTCCTGTGGTCCTGCTGGACTCAAACTTCTTCCTGGAATCTGTTGGATAAATGGATTTTCTTAGCTATATAGGTACCATTTAGTGGTAACCTCGTAGTCCTCTCTCCTGGTCCCCAGAAGATTTCTGTTTTGAGACATTTTTTTTCCTGCTTCTGTGTATTCCCCGTGTGCCAAGCATGGCTGGTGAGAATTCACACACTTGAATTCTTTCCTTCCTTAGGATAGTCTATGTAGGCATCACTTTTTAAAATTCCCACCTTAGGGAAGAGGAAATGAGACTTGGGACATACCATCACCTTGTATGGGTCTTGACAATCCTACTGAGATCCAAGCAAAAGCCCCTCTTACTTCTCCAGCAAATATAAATATAAACAGATTTGATATGAGTTTGGTACTCTAGTCTCCTGTCCCGATAACCTTCCCTGCCAGTGGAAACTGTTGGGCTATTTCAGCATGGTTCCGTCTTCCTCATGATGAGTACGGTTCATAGAAACCTCTTTGATGCTGGTATTGGTCAACAATTGTTACCCTAATCTCATACACTTCAAGCACATAGTAGGTCTACCGGCAGCAATGAGGCTTGGGTCTAGGGCCCAGGGAGGCAGGGGACTCTTTACTCTCATACTTAGTGTGTGATTTCTCTCTTCCTCCTTCTAGGTAGCCAAGAGGGAAGATGGCTGCTTTCTCCCAGGAGGGGAGCAGATGCCTGGCCCAGGATCTGATTAAAAGGTCTGTGAAATCACCTCTTTTCTTCTACCTTGTTAACTTAAAGAATTTATAAATTTGTAGATTTTCCAGAATGGAACTAACTGGAACCCTTCATTTTGCAGCCGGAGCTCCCTGCCCCTTAGGGGGCAGGGAGCCAGTGATTCCTGAGGGACCCCTCATCCCTCCCAGGGTGAACTGTCCTATGTGACCTCGGAGAACCAACAGCCCAAGCCCAGTTTCCCACCAGGCATGTATGTCATTCTCTCTTGTACTCTGTTCTTTTTTGAGGAAGGGGCTCTCTAGAGGACTGGAGGCTACCCAGCCCTCCCAGGCTGGTGTCTCTGGCTCTCTTAGAGGCTTGCATAGGGTTGGTGGTAGGGTGGGATGGGGTGGGCAACCTTGGAACCCTGACTCCCCCTTCTGTGAGATCGGGACAGCAAGGCTCAAGTCTCAGTATCTGAAATAGAAAAAACAGACAATACCTGCCGGGCGAGGAGTCCTTGCCTCATGCAAAGGTGACTCTTTCTAGGAAGGTCTTTCTCCTCTGGACCTATCTGAGCACGCGTCTCAGTATTTTTAAGCCCCGAGGAAAACAGAGGAAAGGGCCAAACAGGAAGGCAGGGTTGGCCGAACCCCTTCCCGGGGGGTTGGGGGTACATGGGTGGGGGTGTTTTCCTGAGGCAACTTTAGCTTTTATTGGTGTTCCCTTCAGGCTATCTATTTCCACGTGGAAATAAGCCGGGCGGCAGGACAAGTGTAGGGCGTTTCCAGCTGGATTCTGCATTTTGTTTTTATCTGTCATAAAAATATTTTGCATTTGTGAACTCCTTGCATGCTGCTGCAGATGTACAAGGTATTCAGAGGTGCGGAGCACGGTCCACAAATCGTATGGATGAAATAGCCGAGCCTCAGGTGTGGCAGAGGTGATTAAGCGACGGCCGTGAGTGCAGAGGACTAGTTAACTCATCTCAGATTGTTTGTTCCAGACTGAAATCATGGTAGGAAATTGTTGTGCATGTCCTCAGAGGATACACTTACACAGTAAATGAAAAAGTGGCTCTACAAGGGAAGATAGCGGTGGATGAGACTTCAGACTGCTGAGCTTAGAAAGGGTTAATGTTTCTTTGGTTGTTGTTCTGGGGGTCTCTGAGCCTCAAGTGTTTCTCTGAAGATGTGGGTGTCATCATATTATCTTTGTCACACACTCAGCCCTATACATGTTCTGAGATTCTGACAGCCTGTGACAGCTGCAGGGGGCCTCACTAGCTAGGTCTGAAGCTCGGTATGCGAGCAAGACACGGGGCGCCTTAGGGAGAAGGGGTCTTCTGAGGAGTTCAGGGTGCCGTGCACTACCTGAGTCATTTAGCAGTGCTGATACCAGGACCGTCCAGGTCAGATTCTGAAGGTGCGTGGTGATGGTGTATTCTGCGTGGGAGTCAGACTGTCAGCAGGAGCCCCTTCCCCGGCTCTTTGCCAGCAAGCAGGCTCCGTCCACTGTTGAGACACAGGGGGCTGCTGTGTCTGCATTTCTCTAGAGGCCTCTGTCCCCTTTGCCAGCATCTATCTCAAGTCACATTCCCTGGGAGTTCTCATTCCATACAGTTAATCCCCTAGAACATGGGCCAGCGCATTAGCTTTCTAGCCCTCTTAAGGACCAGAAAGGAAAATGCTCCCCCGTGGGTACATTGCAGACACTGAGGGTGGGAGTGCTGGTGAAATCATAGCCTGAGGCTCACACCTGCCGGCTGCATGTCACTGACAGGCTGCACGGGGCTGGGGGTTCAGTGCTGGAGCACAGAAAATAAAAATTAATAAAAAGCAAGAGAAAAAGATAAACCTTGAGTCCCAGTGTGTCCAAAACTTGCTTTAGGGCACCCGTAACTGACTCATAATTTGTCAGTTCAAAAGCTCCTTGCATTTTTGTTGTTGCTGTTGTTGTTTGTTTAGCCAATATAAAACCCCAAACAAATAAATTTTAAAAACCTACAGGAAAACCACCACACAAAATATTTACTGTAATTGTACAGGAAATATAATGTTAATTAATACGTGGTTGGTAAAAATCAAAGCATATGTAACACTTAGCCCCTCCCTCAACATAGCCCTTTTCCCCCTCAAATTAGTCAGCTGCTGTGGTCCTTTTGTGCTCCTGCATTTTTCTGTACTTTTACATTTGTCTATACACACAACTCTACAGTATATGACTGTTTCTCTTGTTCACAGGCTGTTTCTGAGCTAGTATTTTTTTCTTTTGCATTTTGTATCAGCTTGTTTTTCTCTCCTGTAGAATGTGCTTGGCAATAACAAAGATCCATGGCCTTCCTGATGACACCCAGCACCTCAGATTCTCAGATGGCATACACAGCGGAGTTGATTTAACCATCTAACTCCCACCCTGAAATCTGGGGTTTTATCCTGCCAGGTGTAAGTAATTGCTTAGTGCTCTGTATTTGGAGGGTGAGCTCCCGAGTATTTACGACATTATTATAAATGAATATATGAATGCATACATTAGCAGAACAAAAGGCACTATGCCTTGGACCAATGATGGGAAAATGTCTATAAACAAAGGATCATGATTAATTTGGTTTCTTTGTAAAATGCAGAGGTCCATTAAAAGACAATTGCTTTGGCTGTTTCCCTCTTTTTAAGAGCTGTTTAATATTCCGGTGTACATATGCAACGCCCTGGCACACATCCTGTTCTATTATTGAACATCCCAGCTGTACCGTCCTTCTCTGGAGGATGTGTACAGATAGAAACATGGTCAACATCCTAATCAACAGGGCAGGTCATGGGCTCCCGGTTGTTCATTATGTTATTTAAAAAATAAAACCGTGAATACGTAAATAAAGGTGGAATCTCCATGGATCAACGAGAAGGGCGCGCCACACGCCCACGTTTTAATTAATGTGATCCAGCTCAACCAATGGCCGATTAAAAAGACCTAACGAAAAAAGCTGTTTTCGTTTTTATGCCATTGCTGAGAGCACCACAGAGAACATACTGGTGGCTGAGCTGGCGAACATCCCCGACTGTATTTGCCTCAGCTTCTCAATGGTGGGAGAGCTGAGTAAATGGTTCGCACGGATTTATTTTCACTGAGCTATCTTTCTAAAATACCATTTTGTTGCCATCTCGCCTTCCCGTCCTCTAGCTGACTTCCCCGAGCTTCTGGGAGGTGGTCCAAGGGGAAAGGAATAAGGAGAAGAGAAAACCCTGCAATAGAAGCCCCTCGAGCATCTGGCTCGACACTTGTCCCACCTCATGTTCTCACACCCTTGTCTTCCCTGGGCACACTGTGCTTTATGTAGGAATAAGCCTGACCCCCCCATAGCACAGCCGTAGTTAGACATATGCGCCACCGATGTCCAAAATCCCCCAGACCTTGCTCGCTGGAACTGTGATGCCGTACGCGTAGCATTTCCTATTCTCAGGCTTTTTTCTTTTTCCTTTTTGTAATTAACAAGAGGGATTGGACGTTAATCACCGCGTTCTTTTGTCCCTTCCAGAAGCCCCTTCTCTGTTTACTGAGACTGACTTCTGAGACCCTGCTGTGAGAGGGCTGTGTTGCCTGCTGTGTGTTGCTGGTGAGTCTGTGCATCGCCGAAATACCTCACATGCATTGGCACACGCATATGCACATACGCTCGAGTGCATTTACACACACACCCTACACTTGTGGGGCAGGAACCCCATGATGAATTTTAATCGGCACTGCAGCCTGATAATGCATCTTTCAGCTTGCTCCTTGCCCTCTAGTCCTGGGATGTCGGAAGGGGGAAACGCAGGTGGTGGAGGGGTGGAACATGCAGGGCTGACGGTGACATGTTTGTCTTTGAGTCAGCCTTGCCCCTAGGTATTAATCACTGGCCCTTTGTGCGGAGGTTGAGGTGGGGTTAGTGCCCTCTATTTCTTAGTGTGGGAGTAGGCTATGGAATCGCAAGTAGCCATCCTTAGCTCCAATCCAGCTACAAAGCAGACTGAAGCTGTGTGTCCTTGCCTAGCTCACAAGCGTCTCTGTGCTTTGGTTCCTTCCTTTCACTAAAAAAAAAAAAAAAGAAAGAAAGAAAGAAAGAAAGAAAGAAAGAAAGAAAGAAAGAAAGAAAGAAAGAAAACAGAGAGAGAAAAGAAACGAAAAAAAATAAAAGAAATTCCGTAATCTCTCTCACACAGGCCCATTGAAATGTCAATGAGAAAATAACTCAAATAAATCATCTGGCCCAGTTCCACATGCGAGGTACCCAGTAAAACCCCAAGTTTCCCCAGCCCAGCCTGCTCCGTCAATGTGCCTTCCTTGCCCTCGCTATTCTATGCAGCCGTGCCTTTTCAGAGAACTGACAGAAGGGGGGACAAAACCCTCAGAATGCATAAAGCATCCTGGCTCCCCTGCCCAAGCTCTTGAGCCCTTACACACCCTCCCAGGGGACCCCCGTGCTTTACTGGAACACCTGGGGCCAGCCCAGATGCCCTACTGCTTTTAATTGGGGTCTCCTGTCATCTGGTTGAGAGTGTATCTTATTTTCATACAAATAAATAGAAGAAGCCAGATTGCTCCCAGGCAGCATTTGTATGCTTCTATTTCCCTGCCTTTGGCAAAAACGACTCCTGAGAAATAGAGGTGCTGGTTTTCAGGTGACCCTCCAAAAGCAAGTATGACTTGCCTGTTGTCCCTTATCCAGAAGGGACCCTTCTTGGTTGCCTGCACAACGGCGCCTCTCTCTTCAGTGTTTGGTTTCTTCAGTGGTCAGACGGCTTCTCCGTGTGCGACCCTGTCGTCCACAGAAACCCATTTCTCAACTCCTTTAAGCCTTTATTTCATCCCTGTCCCTTGAGCAACAGGAGCTATCCGAGATAGCGGGTGGGGTGTGCCCTCCCTACCCAGCAGGGGCTAAAGGGCTTGCTCCCCTGTGACCCCAGCTCCTGGGCTGGGCTTTGGGTGACTTTTCAAATTCACAATGAATCACTTTTGAACCCTGTTGGGGTCTTCAGTCACCTCTAATCAGAAGTGTTTATTTACAAGCCTGTGTGTTTGTGTGTGGGTGCGCTTGCAGCTTGCTTGCTTGTGTGTGTGCACACACACACACACACACACACACACACACACACACACGCACACACACAAACCACGGGAGCAGGAGCCTTCCTCATCCATATCTCACAGGGCCCTCCCCCATGTAATACTGCAAGGGCAGTGACACCTGTGAATGTCACGTCACCAAATGTCAAATGTCCACTTCCTAAGCCCCCAACAAATCCTTTAGTAACAAAACAACAAAACAACAGCACCACCGCCGAAACAACCCAACACCAAGGCTCTGAGGGTGCAGACTGCCTCCCCAGATAGCAGCCTTTAACCCAGAAGCCGCCGGGCAGTCTTCGGCCTCTGCCTCGCTCACCTGCAACACGATGCTGCCCCCGCTTGGCGGGTCACAGCAGTTGAACGACCTTGCGGCCGCCAGATCAGTTTGTCAGGAGCTGGACACTCAGGCAGCAGAAACTAGAAGAACTTTGCTCAGATAATTCTGTCATTTGGATTTTTTTTTTCCTGCTCTTTTTGAAATATCGTTTTGTTTTGTTTTTCTCCATAGCCAGGTCATCCTGATTAGTTCACAGACAAGAAACCCCGGCCAGCCACACAGCTGTCCCATGAATATACACGCTCATACATAATACACATATAGTAAGTGCATACACCAGGTAAAAATGACAGGAGACTCCCATAGAAACCTCAGAGCACAGGTGTGCCTGGCTGAGAGGTCCCTCTGCTACAAGCCCCAACCACCCATAGCTCCTGGTGCAGCCCACAAATAGGCCAGGAAAGCCGTTGTAGAGTAGTGTCGTCGGCTGCATCCATCCAGGCTCCTTCCTCCCGCCATGCAGGGTGCTCTCCCGAGCCCCCAGCCCACTCAGGTCATGGCACAGCAGTTGTCTGACTTTGTGGCTAGAGCCCAGCCTCCAGAGAAGTGACCTGCTGTTCCAGGGACCAGCCGGTGCCTCAATGAGGTAGACCCCTCTCTCTATGCCCTCCACCCACTTTACTAGACTGTTGACTTAAAGGTGACTCAGACCAGCACTCCTGGACCTGAGGTCACGCAGAGAAGCCCCTGGGCTACGCCAAGTGCCCTTCCCTTAACAGGGAGTTGGCTGCAGGATAGCCCAGACCGTCCCCCACTGTCCCAGAGCACTCACCCCCAGTCTCAGCGCCTCTCCCTCAGTGCCTCAGTGAGGTAACAGTACTCCGCCAACTATCAGTGTGCCTTTGCCATTTAACCCCTGGCAAGGCCAGGGCAAAGGTCACCGATCCTTGTCCTGACCCCAGCCCACTCCCCTCCAGCCAGCCCCACCTGTTTGCTCAGGACTCGGCACTGTAGTACCTCCTCAAAAGCCTGTCCCTTTGGGCTGCCAGCCAGCTAGAGAAACCTGCTGCAGCCTCCCCATCACGTACCGGCCTGCCTCTCTGCTCCGGTGCCTCCAGTAACACAGAGCTCCCTCCCCTCGGCAGCCTGCTTGGGGGCTCACGTACTAAGACGCTCCACTCAGCCCTCCCCTGTCTTCTGCATCAGCCTCCGCGGCTCCACAGCAGCCTGCTTGTGCCTCAGCCCTCAGGTCTTTACAGGAGGCACGCTCCCTCTCTTTAGGCCCTCCCTGTGCTGGAGTGACTAGCAGAACCCCCACCTACTATGAGGACAGATTTTGGGGGTTTCTACACTTGTCTTGGGGTCCTTCTCCTTTGGTCCTCTGCACTTAGGACTGAGCCCTTTGCTCTGCTGTCTTTGCAGCAGCCCAGGGGAGGGCCTGGTGCTCCTCTCGGGGTGGGGGCCAGCTGCTCTGTCTCTAGTTGTTAAGCAGCTCTGAGTCCTCTTGGTTCCCCCCCCCCTCTCTCTCATGGCCCCTTCACCAGTTGCTAAGGAGAAACCTCTCAATGCAAACCCCCCCGCTTTTTTTTTTTTTTTTTTTTTTTGACGGAGCAGTGGCTGTCAGGCCAGCTCTGGTTGACCTGCAGAATTGGGAGCTGCAGGAGCAGCTGCAGCAGAGCTGAGGCTGCACAGCTAGGCTTGACTCTCACTCTGTCGCTGCCACACAATTCCCTTTAGTGTTTAGGGTCTCGGGCTTTCCCTGTGAAATGGAGATGAGAGTTTTTCTCTCACTGGCTTGAAGTAAGGACCCGAGGAGGGAGATGAGATTAGCCCCACCAGACACTTCATAAATGCTTGTGGAGTCGGCACTGGGATCCAGGAGAAGGGCAGGGTGTAACAAGTGTCACAAGAGAGAAAACAGTCTGGCCTTTCAAGCCCCGCACTGCATACACGCTGCGATGCCTCCTGGCAGAGTTCCCTCTGCAGGCTTAATCACACAAATCAAGCCAGCCGGAGGCAGCCCTTTGCCTGGGGAACTCTAAGGAGATGCGGCACGCGGCAGAAATGCCATGCAGAGCCTACAGCTGCATTTACCAGCATTTGGATGGTTTATAACAGCGTTTGGGGAAGGCAGAAAGACACAGAGAGACGGAAGTGAAAACTCAGGGAGGTTTTGAAAGGAAGGCTTCAGACTTAGGGCATCCCCTAGACTATGGGAAATGGCTGACTCTCCACTCATTCACACTCCCAGACACTGCAGCACACTACCTCCCAGGTCCCAAGAGTGAGGCCAGGGATTCAGTGATGATGTCAGTTGGCCGGTCGGCCGATCGCTCGGTCTGTCAGTCAGTCGGTCGGTCGATCGGTCGGTCGGTCAGTCGGCTTCCTGTCTTCGAACTGCAATCATTCTGATAGAGAAAACAAACAGGAAATGCTTTACCACACATCAATGCACTCAAGGGTGGGTGATGGCAGTTGGGATTTATAGAACCCCTGGAATAAGTCTTAAGCTAGGCTGTCTGTCCAGCACTCACATGGGAAATTTCACAAAGAGGGGGATTGTCCTCATCTACACTGGATTGAAGAAGCCAAGCACAGAAAGGCCAAGTCCCCTACTTACTGTCTCTCAGCTGGTGTGAGGTTGGGCCAGGATGAAACCCAAGGCTCTCCAAGGCTCCCCACCACACCCTGCTGCTGAAGACTGCCTATCGAGGCTGTGCTGAATGCTAGAGGGGTGGTGTGGGTGGGCAGAGGACGGATTTTCTAGTTATAAGCACCTCCCAGCCGTACTTGAGATCTCAGCTCTTTCATGGTCCAATCCCTTTGAAGGGTAGGTTCAAAATTAGGTGTAAGCACCTATAGGCAGAGGCTTATGAAAATGGCATTATTAACCTGATGCAGAGAGGGCCCCCATTTATCTGCAATCAAATTATAGCTATAGTGGGGGCTGGGCTTTGTTTATGTGGACAGCGAGCTAGAGAGAACAGAATGTTCGGGGGTTCTGCCGAGCTTCCTGATGAAAAGTGTTAGCTCTGAGTGTTTGGGGCCTGGAGCTGGGAACAGAGACCTCTTAAGTCAGCCCCCTCACTCTAGAGAAGTGCCCTACACTGACCACTTATGGTAAGGGGGACCCCAAGGCTGTTCCTGAGACACAAACTGGTACCCTGTGCCTTCTTTCATCTCAATTTGCCATCTGTGAGAGAGAAATGGAATCCAAACATGATTCTAAGAGACAGTTCCATTCCTGTGTGATAAAGAGGGGAACCAAACATCATTCTAAGAGACCATCCCACTCCCACGATTTTTGTGGTTATAGCCGTGGTTGCCAGACACCTGTCTGCTTGTCAGAACTGTATTCAACAGGAGAACTCAGGTGGCTCCCCTTCCTTCAGAGGGAGATGTGAATGAGGAGAGGGCAGTGGAGAGGTGCCCCCAACAGAGAAGCAGAAAGCATAGTTCTGCACCAGATAGGAGTTGGGCCACTTAATATTTGTGCCAATTCACCGTGCAGTGGAAATGGCCTGAAATCTTCAGATACCAGCTAAGAGTCTGTGGCGCCCCCAAGTGCCACAAGGGGGCTGCCTGGGCTAGAGTTTTTGCATTCTTAAATGAGGAGGGGGAGACATGAAGAGGGACCCGCGCTTTGGTTTTCTGCGGCGGCAGCAGCAGCAGTGGCAGCGGGACTTTTAATTGCAGCTGTTGCAAAGGACGCAGGTGGGCGGGGGTCGACAGGGTCCCGGGCTGGCTTCAGGATGCACCTCTCCCTCACAGACTCTGTGCTGCAATGCAGCAGGAGCTGCTGCGGCGGGCAAGCGGCTGAGGGTCGGCGCTCTCCCCGTGTTCTGCTTCCCAGAGTAAGGAATGAAAGATGAGAGAGCTCACTCGCAGCCAGCAGCCAGCAGCCAGCGCGCAGTGGCCAGGTGCCCAGGAAACCCAGGGGATGAGTGAAGATGCGTCCAGAGCCTGTGGCGGTTGCAGTAGGGACGGAAAAGTGGGGACTCTGGGAACGGTAAAGAAGCATAAGGGGTTAGTGGAACAGGCAGTCTTGGGGTCCCGAGGTTAGTCAGTTTGCTGTCCTATGACTGAAAGCAAAGTGAGTGTGGCTGAGAGCAGCCGAGGCAGCTTGCTAAACCGTTTGTGTTTTTGTTTTTTCTCTTTGGGCTAGTGGAGAAGCATCAGTTCTTAACCTTTTCAAATCGGCTTAATTAAAAACAAAACAAAACGGAAGACTAGCTCGTGTGGCTGAGCTGGTTACTCAGCGTGTGTGACAGGTGACACACAGGGCTGTTCCCTGAACTGAATTGGCACAGTGTCCCAGCAGGAAGGCGCACAGGCGGCAGGTTCTGCCCTAAGGAGAGATGCTCTGGGGTCTTCAGAGGTCGGGGAAGGGTCTGGAGTACAGGAAGGCCGGCAGGGAGCTTGATGGTGTGCATCTGGGGGGTGTCTGGTTCTTCAGGGTCCCCCCAACACTGGCACTCGCCTTCAGTCCACCCAGTCTGCAGTAACTGCTTCTTCATTCTCCGTGCCATTCAGATATTTGTGAACCAACCGCAGGACATTCTGCTAGACTTAATTTAAACCCATAGCCCCCTGTGGGCTTTGTGATTTTTCTCTACTCCCCCTCCCAGATTTTATTTTTTACTTGTTGATTAAAAGAAACTCCGAGTTTGTGCTGGGGATTTTTCAGACAACACAAACAGAATAAGCAGTGTGCTTTCACACCCCAGTTTTAACGTCTGCATTTCATCACCTGCATGTAATGCCCACCAAATCCATCTGTTGCTTTGCTTCATGTAAGCCCTGGATGCTCCCTCAACCCCCACGGCCCTGGCCCCCATTTTTGGCCTGTTTTAAAGCTCATTCTAGAGATTACATTTCCTCTTCTGTGTGTCTGAGGATATTTATCTCTAAAAAGAGCTGTCTTCCTTCATAAAAAAACATAAAGATATCCATAACCACAGTTTTATTTTTAAATAAAAATACATGTGACACTATATCACAATTAAAAATTAACAGCTTTTCCTTTTTGCCATCTAACCTCTATGCAGTGTTCAAATCTTCCTGATGGACTCATAAATTTCTTTTATCATTGGCTTATTCAGATCTCTGTCCAAAGTACTTCCTGCACTTTCAAGGGGCCTGTGGGGTCCTCAAAGGTAAGCACAGCTTGAAACGCAGAGCTTTAACCAAATACAACTTTAGTGAGCCTCAGTTTTCTTCCTGAAAATGGGATTCATTCTGGATGCCTCCCAGGACTACCAGGCAAGTTAGAGACAGGTATATACACCTCCCCCAGCCCCATAGCAAACAGAAAAAACAGCCCCGGCAGCCAACAGCTGTTATTTGAATTATCTGCTTTTCCCGGAAACCTCTAAAAGAGTTGGACTGTATAGATGGGGGGCTGGCCCTCGTCCACAAAACAAAAGGCGCCTGGCAGGCCACGGCCCTTGAGTGATTTAGAGACAGCATGAATTACATCTTAATAAGGGCCGTCTGCAGTCCAGGGGGCAAAGGTTTCGCGACCCCTCTGGGTGCCGGACCACTAGATGGCACTCTCTGCTGTGTGTCCAGGACAGACCACTCCCCAAGGTGCTCAAGGCCGCAGCTGAGAAACATCCCAGGTAATTCTAAAACAGCTCCTTCACATGTCCATGCAAAACGCAGTTTTTCTCCCCTGCAGCCAGCCCAGCCCAGTAGCAGAAATATAGACAGTGAACATTTCCTAACAAATTGCTGAGTGCAAACCCTAGACTGCCCACCCCCTTTAATTCTCCATCCCAGCTACATCTGATTGCTCATTATTTGTTACAGATGAGAGGATGATGAGGGCTCAGGAATTTGCCCAAGATCGGCTACTAAGCAGAAGCCGTGGCTCCATCCCAGGTTTGTCTAATTCCTTTGCAAAACAGAGGTGGAAGGATGGAGGGTCGCTCTGACAGAGGGAGAGGTCCCTGCGTAAAGATGCATGAGTAGCTAGTGAGGCGGCTATAGGGATGATAAATGCTAGTGAGATGGCATGGGTAAGCACAGGTCAGCAAGCTTCCCTGTAGATGGGAGAGCGATAGATGAAGGAGATAGAACAGGCAGTTTCTCACCAAGATCAAAGGCTTCCTGGCTCTTCCAGGAGAAGTTTCCTCTCAGCAGTCTGCTGGTGAAGCTTCTGCCTTCTGTTCAGCCTCCAAGTGTCTCGGTTGACTCAGGTGGTTCTGAGATAACAGGTGGCCGGCCCGGTCACGAGGACCCAGTCCCAGCGTTGGCTCTGGGGCTGCTCACTGGCGGCTCTGAGTCCCTGCTGCTCTCACGTGTGCTCGGGAACAGCAGGCTGCTGCCTCTCCAGCGGCTCTCCTGGATGACTAAGCCCAGAGCCCTGGCCTCACGCTCAGCCCTCCTCTTGAACTTGGTGTTCTTTTATTATGCTAGATCATCACAGACACCCTCCATGATGGCATTTTCCACTGTCAATCAAAAGGAGAAGAAACTGAGGTTTAGAAATTGCAAGACTGTCCCAAAACTCAGACAGGGGGCAGATGCAGACCCAGCCTCTTTTTTTTTCTTTCAAACCCAGACTTCTGACAGACTGCCTTTCCTCTATGGCCACGCCTGAAAAAAGAAATCTGTGTTCCTTAGCACTCCTTCATGTGAGGCTTACCCTTTGGGGCTAAACTTCTTATCCAATCGAATTTTAGTTTATTTTCAAAGCAATGTCTTCTCAAGTGCGTTCTATCTGTAACTATCACACAAGCAGCGGCCACACGTATTCTGGCATCCCGTGGGAGAATTCAGCAAGTGAGTTTTCCTGCATTTTCTATTGTGACTGAATACTAATGGAGCAGGTGTAAAAATGGCTCCCCAGCCCGGGGGTGGGGGGGGTGCGAGGCAGGGAGCACAGAGACTCCGAGAATGGGCTCTCTGCAGGACTGCCTTCAGTTTAGCAGGTAGGATTTGAAAAACTGCATAAGGGCCAGGACCTTTCAGGTTTTGTCAACAAGAATTCTGTATGTACATTAATCCTGATGCCTCAGTTTACCTGTTTGTACCATGGAAGTACAAAAGCACCCCCTCCTTCTTAAAATTCTTTTGATACAGGGTCTTTACTGTGTAGCCCTGACTGTCCTGGAACTTGTTAGGTAAACTAGGCTGGCCTCAAATTCAGAGATCCACCTACCTCTACTTCCCGGGTGCTGGGATTAAAGGTGTGCACCACAACCCCTGGCCATATTAACAGGCAGAAAGAATGACCTGAGGGGCTGAGAAGGTGGCACAGTTAAGACGGGACCCAAGTTTAGTTCCCAGAACTCACATCAGGCTACTTACAGTCCCTCCAGCCCCGAACAGGTTTGACCCCCTCTTCTCGCTTCTGCAGGCAACTGCAGACACACATGTATACAGTTTAAAGTAATAAAAAGCAACGAGGTAAAAAGCAACTGAACATAAAACACATCAAAGGGTCCTGGGACATGGTTCAGGGGTTACAATGCTTACCTAGCTCCCGAGAAGCCCTGAGTTTGATGCCCAGAAGCGTGGAGAACTGGGTGTGGTAGCACAGGCCTGCAGTCTCAACACTCCAGAGGTGGAAGCGAGAAGAACAGATGTTTTCCCTTGACTATGTTGCAAGTTCAAACCCTGCCTGGAGTACATGAAACGCTTCTGCCCCCAAAAGGCTGTTTTAAAAATAAGATTTTAGTTTCCTTTTAGTCATTATAGCTACTGATACAGGGTTTAATATCTTTGGTAAGAATCATCACCCATGTGGGGTATTCACTGCCTAGTTCTGCCTGTTCCCTGCTGTGTGGCAACTGGCAAGTCCCTTAACCTCTCTGAGGGTCAGTTTGTCGATGGCTAAATTAGGACCTCTGGTATCTCCATTCAAATCTCACCACCTCAGCGAGGCTTTCTCCCCTGACAGCTGCTTTCTTTCCCTCCTCGGCTCTATGTCAGCTCCACACCTTTTGTTTATTTAGTCTGAGTGCTCTCTTTTTCTGTCTTTACCCACAGGGCTGATGGTTCTCCGAGGATTTTGTCCTGTTCTCAGCATCCAGACCTATTGCCTGGAACTGAACGGGAGGAAGGATGTCTGTTCCCCTTCGGGACCCACACCCGAGGAATGCCCGTGTGCACAGCAGGCTGCAGGGTGCTCGGTACAGTGTCTGCATTCAGTAACTCTTGGCTAATTACGGCTATTCTGTCTAATCGGCAGGACTGTGGTGGGAATGAAATGACATAATGGATGCTAACACATGCCTCGCGTGTTCTGGGCTGGGTGCAGGACAAGCCGTGCTGACACCCCCCGGGGCTCCCAGGGGACCCTCAGGCCACCTGAGGCCCCATGCTGGGAGTGGGGTGTGAAACTGGCTTGGCTTGGTTAGTGGGAGCCCCCTTTGGTTCAGAAAGGAACAGTCTGAGCTTCATGAAATTCATGGCAGTGCAGGGCGGGGGCGTAGCTCAGTTGGTGGACTCTCCTGGCTTTCTGGAAGCCTGAGTTTGAAACCCCGAGCACTGTGTGATAGTAAGGAGTGATGACATACTCCTCTCATCCCAGCAGTCAAGAGGTGCGAGCAGCAGATCAGGAGTTCGATACCATCCTCAGGCCAGCCTGGGTTTCAAGAGAACTCATCTAAAGAAAAACAAAACACAAAAGAAAACAACCGTTCTGGCTGCATAGACTCCCAGAGATCAATTTATTTGCTGCATGGTCTCTTGGTTTTCAGAAGTGCACCCCTCTGGGGTGGATATCTTCTTTGAACTGGGATGTTTTGACCACAAAGGAACAGCTCCCAGTGATATCTGCCCCAATGTCCATTCTCGCTGAAACCCACGGCTAGGCCTGAGCATGGAACGAGTCTTATTGTCTAACCTTTAGGGGACTGTTTGAGCAGATAGGTGTGTGTGGGGTGTGGGTCGCTGCCAGGTATGCACAGGGGGGGCGTTGCTCTGAGGATCGGTCTTGTCAGTCCATCCGTCAGTCCACCTGGTCCATCGGTCGGTCCGTAGCTCTTCACCCTGTTGGACCCAGGAAGGTGTTGCTGTCCTCAATCTACAAATCCTCCGAGTTCGGGGCCTAAGACAGAGAGACCGGGTCACGTCTCTGCAGTTCCACAGCTCATGAGTGCCTGCTGGGGTGGAACCTGGTTTGTCTGTCTGTCTTTCACCATCGCTCGGGCACTGCTGCAGCTGCAGGAGCAAAGATTTGGACAAGGGGCTCAGAAATGTCATGGGAGGGCTTCTAACTGGCTGTGAAGAGGATGACTAACTTTGCTCAGGGGCCAGAGCTGTCGATGTCTTTCGCACGGGGAGCGGAGCACAGAGAGGCTCCTCGATTTTCTTGACGTCACACAGCTAGTTAGAGGTTCAGGCTGACTTCAGGGGTGCATGTCCCAGTGTGGGTATTTTTGTAGGCTTCTCTTGCCTCGTGACTGTGACATAGGTAGAAGCAGCACAGGTGTATAAAGGGCTGGGTTCAAGTCCTGTCACCAAATCTGGGTAGACCCATCCTGACCACCGTTTCTTGGAAAACGTGTTTTAAGAATACACATGTGTTTAGATCTTATGTGTATAAACGAGGAAGGGAGAAACATTGTTAAAATTCCAGGTGGCCTAGTGGGACAATGGGGGTGACAGGGTGGTGGTCATGTGTGGTCAGTCCTAAGTGGTTCAAATAGTAAATAAATTCAGAATGGATAAGGCCTGAGGATGAGTGTTGGCTGCGAACCAAGGACAGGCGTTAACTTAACACAAGTGGGTAACATAGAAAAAACAGCTCAGAGTGGTTTGGGGCTGTGAATTTTATTATTAAAAATGAAAAAGAGAATAAGAAATACTGTCCTCATGCCTTGGATCCAGTAGCTTTGAGAGTCCTTCAAATAAAGTACCAAGACTGACTCAGGTCTGCTAATCTGACTTTTATAAGCAAAAGGGCCCAGCAGCCATTTCCTTCCCTTCTGTGCCTCTTTTACGTCCACTTTGGACAAGTGGCAGGCCTGGTAGGTCCCCCTCAGGAAGTAAGAAGGAATGGTGTAAGGTTATGTATAAAATGTGCTTTGCATAAATTAAATTAATTATGCATAAAATTAAGGTTCATCATATGTAGACTGGTGATGGGGTATTTTCTATCCTATTTTAAGATTGTTTAATTGATAAAAATTGTATGGATATAAGCTTTGATGTTTTCTGTCCAGTACCCCACACTGTACTGCTTGTATATGGGAGGAGACTATCTAAGATGGACATTCTGTGTTAATTATCAATAGATGTTTCTGTTAATTACATTTGGCGATCTGTACCTTATCCACTGAGAACTTAACATTCTTACAAAGAAAATTGTACTCTCTGACTCACTCCTGTTCTTCACACCCACTGAGCTCTGCTAAGTGCCCTTTTTCTACTCTGAGTTTGGGTGACGTTATTAAGAGACCAATCCCAGCCAACTGTTGCCTGCTGAGCTGTGAGTAAGAGGGCCCTCGGGTGTGCAGAACAGTCAGTGGTCCTGCGCTGGTGGGTGACGTTGACTGTACTTGGTCTGTTGTTTAAAAGGAATTAAATGAGTAAATAAATAGTGGCAAGATGAAAGGAGCCCAAGAGTGGGCCGCCAGCAGTGTTTTCTGGCCAAAAGGTTAATTTTTATCTATTGATGTATAATTGTAGCCTTCTAAAAACTAACATTTTTACCTCTATATGTTAAGAATCATTTGGATGCACCGAGATATCTGCTCTGGGTTAGCACGCAGTTCATCTGTATTTATTGTATTTAAAAGTGTATGAAAACAATGGGAAGGATGAATAGACAATAATGATAAGCTTGTATCTGGAATCTAAAAATGGCTGTGTCTCCAACTCTGTACCTGGGTCTGTTTGGAAGAAGGTCTGTTATTTCCCTTGTAGACAGAAAGTGTAGGGATTCAATATTTATATAAATAGTTGCTTTCATTTTTTTTGTATAGTGAATTTGCATATTCATTAGAATAATATGAAATGTACAAGTGAATGAATGAATGAATGAATTTGTGCTTGGGCCAGTATCATGATCTGAGATTAAGCTGCCCTGCCCACTAATGGCCATGAAGAACATCTTCCTACTTCATCCTTTTTAATATCTGCCTTGTGTTCCACAGATTGGAGGCCCTAATGTGAATGGAGCCTAGCCTGCTCGTAGAGACCTTGGCAGTGACCGCCGTGGGCAATGAGCCATGGGCCAACAATGTGAGTGATGGCTAGTTTTGTTATTTTGAACTTGGGTGGTTGGCTGGTGGGTGTTTATTGCATTATTAAACATGATTGAGTTTGTAAATAAAATCAAATATGGTCAAAGCACTAGTCAGTGATGAGACTGTCATGGACCAAGGGTAATTAATCCAATTAGGCATAATAATTACCGAATTAGAAATGATATAGTAGGCTGTTTCCTATGTAGAAAATAGCAAAGAAAAATGGAGCATCTCAGGCTTGGATGACAGCTCAATTGGTAATGTGCTTGCTTGCCTTACAAGGGCCTGTAGTCAGTTTCCTGGTACCCACATACAAGAAAATGGTCATGGTAGCATGCTTACTGTCTCAGCCCTGGGGAGGCAGAGGTAAGGTGAGCTCTGCGATTCTCTGGCCATCCACCCTTCCTGGGGAGTTCCAGGTCAGTGAGAGAACCTGTGTCACCAAACAACATGGTCAGTGCCTGGCCTCAACATGCATGAACACCCAGGCGCGCCTACACAAAGTGAGCACACACATCACACAGGAAGTATGTAATGCTTATGTTCAGACACATGTGCCATATGTATGTCATATGTCATGAGTTATGTATTCTTTTTTCATTTGGCAGTAGTGTGTTCATGCATGTTTATGTATATATTAAAAAATGGATGCATTTATATAACAAAACAAATGGGCTAAGGAATTTAAGACACCATGACCTGAAGTTCTAGTCACACGATTCTATCCATTGGGCGACATCCAAGCAGAAGTACCTCAGCTCTGTAAACCGCTAATTTGTGTGCCATGCCTAGATACAAACCTGCTTATGAAACATGTCATTTCAGATATGATAGAGCTTTGTAGATGGAAGGATGTAATTGGTAGTTTCTAGTTATTAGCTATGATTTACAACTGTTATTTCATGATTTTTTATAAATGTAAAAACAAAATCGAATAGGCCATCAAGGCTAATATTGTACATCTATTAAGCTTATTAATCAGTTCCACCGAAGTATGCGCCTCTGGAAATGGGCCCAGGTTGTACATTTCCAACAAATGCTTTCAATTATATAGAGTGGGTGCATTATAATCTATTTAGTGATGTAATACTCGTGAAGATTTTTCACTCTTTTTTGAAGATGAAAGGTACATAAAATGTGAGAGCTGATGTTTTCATGCTTTAAAACAAATTTAAAAATTGATTTACATGCATCCCTGGTGCCAATGGAAGTCAGTTGAGGGTGTCTGGTCCCCAAAATGGAGTTACTGATGTTTGTGAGACACCATGTGGTTGATGGGAACTGAATCTAGGTCCTCTGCAAAGAGCAACATGTGCTCCTAACTCTGAGCCACCTCTGTAGCCCCCATCTTCATATTGTAAAATCTTTAGCTAGAGAGTTCAAGAGGATTCATAAATAAGAAAGCAACTTAATGAAAAAAATCAGCAATAAAGGAAAGGTGATAAAATGACCTGGAAATGAAAAAAAAAAAGTTTTCTGATACCCCAGTTTTCATTTTGAGCAGGGTTAAAGTTACCCAGGTCTTCAAGGTATGAGAACCTTCCCTGTCCTGCTGGTAGCCATCTCCCAACAGACATGGGCTGCCTGCTGACTTGCCCCACATGTCCACTGGCTTCCCTAACCCACCACCTAGACTTCCAGTAGGAAATTCTCTCACTTTTACCACAGACTTCAATAAAGTTATTATTAATTTTTCAATAAAGTTATCATTAATTTTTTTTCTATTGGTCCTATAAACTGTCTGCCCTCTGTCTTTGGGACTTGTTAGTAATAATCTACAACTGTTAATTCACATTTTGTTTTAGAGTGTCCTCCTCTGACCGATACAGTTGACTGTAACTTATTTCTTAGTCAGGACCAAGAGATCAGCTACCTTGGTAGGAACAAACCAGACCCCGCTCAGCCAAGACTCACAAGGCATTGTTGGTATCTCAAGGAGGACACCTAGTCATGGGTGTCATGGATGAAGTGATGGAGCATTCCTCTTTGTGCTACGATGAGGAAGTATCCCATAAAAGGCACATGATCTTCCTAGAATCCTCTCATAGCAGGGCTAGACTGGACTGGTGAGGAGAATGGTCCAATTATGAAAGGATTTTAATTCAGTAATGTATGCCTAACCACCATAACAGCAGCCTGTTTATTCCATTCTCTTAACCAGCTGTTTTGGGTTTTGTTGTGTATGTTACATGATTTGTTTAGACATTTGACCATAAGTAAAGTCCTAAGCTGCTGTTCTTTGAGTGAGAAGTGAGGAGGAGATGAAAGGCCTAGGTAAGAAGGTGTGGATGCAGTTTGAGGGCTCACATTTCATCAGAAACACGCAGATCTCAGGGATGGAGATTGCTCAGTGGTCAGGAGAGCTTCCTGTTCAGATCCCAGCTCCCCTCTGAGGCAGCTCACAGTTAGCTGTAACTCCAGTTCCAGGGGACAAGATCTCTTTTCTGGCTTCCAAAGGCACCTGTGCACTTGTGCGCGTGTATGTGCGTGCACACACACACGCACACACACACAAAGACATAATAATTCTTTTACAATAGAAGTGAACTAATCAAATGAAAGAGACTCTGTGAGCTGAAGATGGTGGCGTTGTGACTCAAGTCTCATGAGTGATCCAGGTAAGCTCGTTAGGGAGTGGGGAGGCTGTTGCTATAGGGAGAAAGAGTAAATCTTGGTCTTGCCCAAGAATCTTGGTGCAGAGGGGAGAAAGTCTTCATTGAACTGTTGAACGCTTAAAATATGGCTATAAAGAATGAAAAATTTCTTATTCTTTATATTATCAACTAGCCTGAACAAATGATTAGTGAATACTAAAGGGCTGGGAATGTAGCTCAGTGAGAGAATACTTGCCTGGCATAGCTGAGGTTCCATCCTCGACCTTACAAAATAAAACACTCCAGTCTACCTGTGGCAGAAAGCTGGTAATATGATGGTTTCTGATTAATTCAGATCAACAGAAGGTAATCCATAAACGAGAGACCTCAATCCACCTCAACAGACCTCAATCTCTGTAACACACAGTAAGGCTGTTGTTAGCATTTCAAGTGCTCACATTTCTTTTCTACTACTGTTTAAGTAATCTCCTGATGAAATTCATAATAGCTTGTTGTATCAACTTTGATTTCCAGACAAATTAAGGGAAGGGGGGGGGAAACGATGGGCAATGAGTATGGATTCTTTATGGTAACAAGAAGGGTGACTGGGGGCCAGACATAGGGCCATGCCTAGCATCCTAGCGCTTTCAAAGCTGAGTCAGGAAGTTGGCCCACATCTTTGAGGCTATCATGGTATCATGGGCTACAAAGTGAGACATTCTCAAAAAAAAAAAAAAGAGGAATAAAAACAAAACTGTTAGTGTAGTGGTACTTATGAGTAATACCAGCAAGAACCTTGGCTCTACAGTGAGATCCTGGAGAGGGAGAGAGAAGAGGGGAAAAAAAGGGGGGGGGGAATTACATATTACTTTGTGATGTTATTTTATAGGCACACCCTGTCCAGTAGACTGCCCCCGCCACACCGAGCCGCTGGACTTTGAGTATTTTAATTGGGATGTGGTCTACACCTAAAATTTCTAATGGAGCTTGTGTAGATTGATCAAGTTTATTTACTTATTTAGTACATCACTTACTCAGCCACAATAATACATTTTAGAATTGTGACATAGAGTAAAAAGCAATTTTCTTTGTTTTCAAACTCCTCAATTGTTACTCTTTGAGATTTAGGAGCAATGAATCAGAATTCTCAACAATTTCATAATTATTATTTTAAACATTCATCTAAAATATATCTTTAAAGAATACAACACAATAATTTTTCTTGTAGTTACAAAGAGCTACAGCCTACAGAAGTATCCAGACAATGAAATGTAATTTCATATTCAAGATCTCCTAGGAAGGTAAAAGCCCCTCATGAACTGTATGTGGATACTGCCCCTTTCAGGACTCATTTTGAATTGAACCTTTGTTAGCTATTGAGACAGTATTCAAAGGACTTACATGAGCTCACCGCCATGCGAGCTTTGTTATTATTCAGTCTTGTTTTCCTTTCTTTATATTTCATTATGCCTCCATACACAAACATATTATATATAATACAGGTATATTATGTATAATAATACACGCACATTGTTGGCTAGGACCTGCATATAAGGGAGCTTTTTTATATTACATAAATTACTAATTGAAGAGGCCAAATAAGAGCCATTCTTTGGTTAATCACAGGCCTGTGTGAAAGCTGTGGTTTGGCTAGATTTGATATATGGAGACTAAGGTATCACGATGATAGCTTAAGGCTGTTTTGCTTCTGAGTTTCCTAAAACCTGTATTTTTAAAAATTCAGATTCTCCAAAATTTATATAGCAAGCCTGTTAATTGCTTCCGAAGTATTGGTCACCCTTTAGAAAAAGATTATTGCAACTTACTAAAGCCTTTTACTTCTCAGATTCAATACCCTGCACCTGGCAGTTCCTGCTCTGTAGGCTAGGATGAAGAGTCTCGTGTAAGCACAGTGGTTCATGGTGTGTTGAATGATTTGTGCCATCCATGAGTTCACCTCAGATGGAAGAACGACAATTGCCAACGGACATAAAATAAAAGGTTAGCCAGGCATAACAGCTCTTGCTTATCATTCTAGCAGCCAGGAGACTGAGGCAGGGTGATTGCTATGTGTTTGATGCCATTCTGAGCCACATAATTAGATCTTATCTTAGAAAAGAAAACAGGCCCCAAACCAAATAGCCACAGAAAAGGAAACAAAGCAAAGCAAAGCAAAACAAAACAAAAGCAACAACAAAGAGTTCCATCACTGGGGCAATGTGAAGTGTTTTTGGCACAGATGTGACAATCAGGTAGCGCAGAAATTAGCTAGCTAGAAATTAGTCATTCTGTGGTGTTTAAGCCCTTTGAAACATCATGCGCACACTTAATGTGCACAATTTTATCTTTCAATTATCAAAACAAAACAAAATGAAAATGAACAAACCAGCCAGGTGTCAGCTGTTGGTGCGGACTGAGTTTCTGTAGATTTAGTGCAACCTGCAACCCAGGCCCTTTAAAGATAAGGCTATGGCTGTTGTATTCATCGACACAGTTCTCTAAAGTTCTATTTTGTTTTTTATGCTATGTTTTCCCATCAGTAGAGAGCTGATCTGAGGTTTTAAATAGTGTGCAGGAAGACTCTCCCATGATCCTGAGTGTGGTCTGTGTGTCTCTACTGTGGAGTTTGAGGTGCACTCATTCACCCCACTGACTTTAGGAGTCAGTTGAATGAATCATGAACATCAGAGTGTAGGAAGCCACCTGGTTGATTAATCTGTATGTTCAGGCCTTAGGTCCAATTAATACAACGTCTTATTTACCTGCGCTGTGGACAGGAGCCTGGAAATCGCTTGCTGTGTTAGTGAAAGATTTTGTTTTCGGATTTCCATGATTCATGGGCACTAAGATTTTTAATCAGAAACCCTGACTGAAAAAAAAAAATCAATAAATTATGCAGAAAGAGTCAGCCACGTACAGATAAATAAATGAGGAAAATCTATTGAGCTTGGATCGGTAATGAGGACTTCTGGGGCACATGTGTCAATGCTTCTGATTAAACCATAAACTGAAGTCTATTAGATACACACATTATTGCCAGGTCATGGGGCGTGGCAAATACCTGGGAGAAATGCAGGCCAGTATAACATCGGGCTCTCGGGCCTCAGTGGCTCCTGAGTAAGGACTGGAGGAATGTGTGAGGAAAATGTCGAGTGTGTTACCTTCGAGAAAGTTAAGAAATCACGATGTGAAGCAACAGCTCTTAGTCAAGTTTTAATCCTGAATTCCCCTGTGCTACACCAGTAAAATCTGCCACACCTCTATGTCATGGAAGACGCCTAGACACACAGATACTCATGCTTAGCTGCATTAAGGTGTTGCCACAGACATTTTCAGGGGTGTAGGAGGTAGCTACCTATTGGGTGTACAAAGGAGAAAATACCTTTTCTCTCATATGTGGAATCTAAAGGAAAAAAAAAAAAAGAAGATACTAACAAGGGACCCACAGTGGTGTATGTTTGTTTGTGTGTGGGGGGGTGAAGAGTGTGTGTAATGGGGTAGAACAATTCTTACACTACTTGGTGGACACGTATGAAACCATCTTTTGAACCACACTGTTTCTGAGATAAGTACTTACGGCTACATCTAACTGTCCGCCTTTCTTTTGTCTTTTGAAAGTTCGTGCATGATTTCACCAAGGGGGTGCAGCCACTCCAACTGAATCATCCTGGAATGCCAAAGGTCTTGGCTTTTACCTCTGTGGGTAAGGAAAGAAGAAATTTATGTGAGTAATAGCTTGAATTTTATGTTCGTGGGTTGGGAGGTTGGCTTATGAATGTTGCTTGCATTTTTTTCAAAGTAGTAAATGGGTATAATTTATAAGTAACACCAACAGATGCAGTGGTAAGCATTGATGGAAATGTTGTCAGACTGAGGGCTGATAATTCATGTGATTTACCATCACTATAATCCAATTAAAGTAGATAAGTGGTTTTTCATTCATTTTCAAGGTTGCTTAATATTCTATTACATACATATTTTTCTGTGATTCATTTATGTACCCTTTGACTTTGTTTATTAATTTTTTAATGTTAAAGGTACAAGACAATGACCAAAATTATTTGTTGATTCTAGTTGTGTAGTAAGGTTCTGGGTGCTTGCTTATTCATGACACCATCTTTAAGTCCAAAAGAGGGCAAACATGGACCAACAGTGAACATAGAGATGGTGGGAGACAAGAACTCTGAATGACTTAAATGTGAAGAAAGTATACATACTTAGGGAAAGTGATCAGACCTGTTAATTTTGTGGGGAATGGACCCTTGACAGACAGCTGTTTTATTCAGCGATGTTGCTCTTGGCCTTTTTGATTTATTAATTTATCGTTTATATTAGCACATCAGTGAATAAATCAGCGAGGATAAGGAGAAAATATATCAATAACCTATAGAGCTGTGAGTTTTCTAAGATGTGTGAATCAAAGAGTTTTGACTAAACTGTAACTTAGAATAATGTTGGAAAAAGACACCCCCCCCCCTTATTTCTGCTGTGAGATGTGCAAGTTGGACATAGTTAAAGTCCTTGGTCATCACTCTTGGTCATAGCTCTTCCCACCTGTGAATGATATTAGAATGGGATGGGTTTGCATCCATGAATAAGGATGGTCAATTTTGAAAAGGGGAAAAAAGAAATAAGTATTATTATTCATGTTGTTATTTTCTGACACCCTGAGCTTCACTATATATGTAGATCAAGTCTTTTTGACCATTTCCCTGAAGGGCATGTCCTAGGCTGTGAACCATGGTGCTGCTGTTTGAATTGTGTTAGGCAGATGGCCACTGGTTTTATTTAGACAAGAGACAAATTATTTATATGAAAATGATTGTTTGAATAATTGTCTAATTGAAAGAAGGCCAAACATGGATGACTTCAGTGCACACAGTAATAAGTATTATCAATCTAATTCAGCAAAGACAGAATTCACCACCAAAGACAATATTCTCTTAAAAATGGACCTTGTCAATTATATAGGTGATAACTGGGTCTATGTATGTAGCTAATGTTTTGGTCCAGTGTCTCAACTGCTTTTTATTATGATGTACCCTTAAAGGTGAATGAAAGAATGAGCTCAAATCTCGGGTGATTACTTGAAGGGATACAGATCTGGGGGCAGTTAAAAGCAAGTTCTGTGAAACAGAAATGTGTTATTGTGAGTGGGTGTGCGTATGCCACTGTGCACGTGTCTGAGGAAGTGTTTGGAAGTTGTTTCTCTCCTCATGGTGTTATGTGGTAATTGAATGTGGGCCATGTGGCTTTCTCAGCAAGTGCTTTTACCCACTGATTGAGTCATTTTCCCAGCCCAGAGATCTGATTAATTTAGATTCATTAATGATTAATAAAACCCCTCCATCTTTAACCAACCTAAGTTGTAGTGAATTGAATTAAACTGCATATTTCGGTTCATTTCTAAGACTGGTCCTGCAGTACATACTCTTATTTTATTTATATATTGTTCATCTATGCCTTTGACAGAAGTTAGTGTCAAAGCAACCTCTGTCAAGGAAATAAACTTTAGAAGTACAAAAGTCTCCAAGCCTCTTAACCACACAAGTGGAAACCAACATCTCCATCTTTACTGAACAGTTTCATCAGCCATGGTATTCTTACTCTGTGAAGTACAGCACACCCTGTGAAGAATGGAAGGTGTTTTTCTTGTGTGAAGTACAACACACACTCTGCAAAGAATGGAAACCACAGGCTTAACTCCTTTAATAGGCTGACTCATGAGGGATTGAGTGGCTAATCCAAACTTGGATGCTATTACATTCCCATTACTGACTCCAAAATAACTCTACTTCTTACATACTGACTTATGTACTCTTTAATTTTTAATACAACAGAAACTAAAATTCACTACCGAACACAGGAGAAATAAATGCAGCCATTAGGACTGTCTGTGTGCTGCTACCCACAGACACCCTACCCTCATTTATCTTTTTCCAAAGACCTCACTGTGCCTTGCTGAGGGTCTACCTTGAAACAGTGATCCGAGGGCCCCCTAATTCACACATTAGCTGGCTGGCTCATCATCTTTATTCCATAGGTAGCCTGTTTATTCCTAAATTATGTCAAGGGAATAGATGCCTGTATATGAATAAAATAAAAGAATGCTTATAGGACCAGCAGAGGGAATCTGCTGGTTTGTGGTTAATAGGATTCTGCTCAGCCTAAATCTGTTAATCATGGAGAGCTTCGGTTCATCCTCAGGATTTCTTAGTATTGAGGTTTGTTTTGTGTTAGCAGTTTATACATTCCATCAGTGGTGCATGTCTGGGCCTGAACTCGTGCGGATGGAGCATGTGGGATGAGGGAAGAAGGCGGCGTTGACATCCTTGCTGTGATAGGAAGATGGTGCTTAGCTGACTCTTCCTCTAACCTAGAAAGTCTGAAAATGTTCTTAAATCTGAGACTTGCTGAGAATTTGCTTTTGGTGCATCTGGAGGACTCCACACTTGTCCTCATGAGGAATTACAGGCAAAATGCAGGTGTGAAAATTCCTTCCGGTCACATGTATAAGGTGACTAGTGGACAAATTAAGTTTGTCTCTTTTGGGGCCCTAATTTTAAAACGTTTTGTTTTGTTCTAAAACAAAATACTTCTGATGCCAACTCTCAGAACTAGGACTATTTCCTGAGAACGGTTGTCATCTCTAGCTGTAAAGTAGCTCACCCAGTGACTTCATGGCTCAAAGCATTAAACATGTTATTTCCATGAGGCCAGAACCCAGGGGTTTCTTCTATGTGGTGTCTCCTGTCAATTTGGTGGTGTAAAGTGTTTGCTGGAGTGTGTGTATGATATCTGCCTGCAAGGTTCATGTCCATGGCTGGCTGTTGATGGGGACCACGCATCTTCTCCACATGAGTGTTCCGCCTTGAGTGTCCTTAGAACATGGCAGTTATCTTCCCCAGAGCAATCAAGGCATGGCAGAATCAGTTAGATTCTTAGTGTACAATATAAGCTACCTCCTAAGGCACAAACTTTCACGGTGTTCTACTGCTCACACGGATAGCCATGATTCAAGGTGTGAAGAGAGAACACAGGGTGGAGGTGCCACAGGTGTGGAGCCCACCAGACACTATCTTGAAGACTGACTGTCCTGTGGACTATCCTTACAATTCAGATAAACTTAATGAAAGAAGAACACGGAAAGTTCACAGATGACTTTGACACAAAGGGAGGCAGCTGAGATCTCAGAACCTCCCTTAAAGTGTCTCAGTTCTGCAGAGAGTAAGCCATCAGATGTTTCTTAGCACCACCACTTTCAGATTTGTAGTTCATGTTTATTGACTTTATTGGTAGTACTGTAAGTGAGCTGATAAACAAAGTAAGAACTAACCAACCCACAGGCAACCAAGCCCTGGCCGATGATGAGATTTCTGGGGTATCTGAATCAATGATTTTGATTAACCCTTTAACTCTGAGGTCCATTAGAGACTTCGTAAGAGGCCCGTGAGATGGATTAATGGGTTAAGGTACCTGCTACCCGGCCCAAGTACCCGAGTTCAATCCCCCGTACCCACATGTTGGAAGGAGAGAACTTATTCCCGAAGTTGTCTTCTTATCTCTTCATGTGTGAAGTGGTACTTGTATGCACGCGCGCACACACAGACGCCCCAAGCAAATATGTAAAAAGAATAGTCTTCATTAGCACTTGTTTACTAAATATTATTAGAAATTAGGAACATTTCAGATTTTGTTCTTAGGTTACCCTTGGGTTTTAAGTTGTTCTCACTGTAAGTAAATTAATAAAACTAAGCAAATACTTAAGGAAATAAATATTTAAATGATCAAGGATAAAAGATAGCTGTATGTTGCTCCTTATCCGAGTGCACATTTTGTCTACTATTGCGAATATATTTGAAGCAATAAATTCCAACATAAATTTATTAAATCTGATTGATAGCCATTTGCACAGGGCTCTGAGTCCTGTGAAACTGAGGACACTGTTCTTCACTATTAAGGAGATAGTGGATGGTAGATGCAGGCTTACTTCCTGGACTGTAGTTAAAATATCAAAAATGTAAGGAACCAGCATTGATCTAGTGGTCACAGGGCTGCTGAAGCTCAGGAAGACGAACGTTCCCCTAGACGCTGACGCTCACTGTGGAAAGAGGCACCTACCGTTTTGTGTGAACCGTGTCATGTTTGTTATCATTGTGACTTATTGTCCGTTGTTGATTTTATTGTTGTTGGTGAGTGAGCAAATGGTGGTTCAAATGAAGGAAGGAAAAGTTCAAACTTAGGCCAGTGATCTTGGAGCATATCAGCAAGGATTTTATTCAGGTTCAAAGTGCTGAGCACCCCTGTTAAGTAGATACAGTAGACGAACTCCTACTATTTTTATGAGAAACGCATATAGAAAGAGCACATTTTGTTTTCTGTCTATTGAGATTCTTTAGTTAGAATTATATTTTTTGTTATTAAATCAATAATGCCTAAAGGAAAAAAATACGTTAGTGAGTGAAAAAAATAAAGGAAAGGTGTGTATGGATCAATTATAGGATGGAATGGATTTGCAGGAAAGGGGAAGAGAGGTGAGTATCTGCTGTCTGCTTTCCTGGCCAGCATAGCCTGTGGGTTCCCAAGGAAAGGCTGTGGGAGTGGCTCCTGGGGTGAGTTGGGGGACTGGCTGGAGGATTGGGTCATGTGATTCCCTGGAGAAGGTGAGGCAGAGAGCAAGGAGAGGAGGGGGAGGTGAGGACCTACATTTAGCTCAACAGTGTCACTGGCTGGAGATGACTTTATATTTTCAATTTTATTGATTTTTTTTTTGCTCTAACTTTTGTTTTTTTTTTTCCACTTGATTTGCTTTTCTTTGTCTAGTTTCCCTGTAGGTGCCAACATTTTTCTTGTCCAAAACTTTTCTTTTATCAAGAAATTTACCATTCCTTTTCCTGCCCATCCAAGCCACTTATGACTGTCATTTGACTTTCTTAAGATGTACATATCAGTTTAAGTATACCTCAAAGATTGTATAGCTAGAATACACCATGAAATAAGGATGACTATCTAATATCTGAAGAAGGCCCAATGAAGGAGTTATAACATTCATGAGTGTGTACTTTGTGTAGCTATAATCATAACAGCGATGGGCCTTATGAGGTAATAGATATACAAGTGTCTTTTACATTGTTTCAGAATAAACAGAAAACACTGGCTCTTAAAAGGGAACCTAGCTAGGCTCTGCTTAAACTTCTGAATCTGGCTAAGTCTACTTTTCTTCCACAGAATGGTGACAGGCAGCCTTCTTACTCAGCTCTTCCAAGAAACAAAATCTTGGCTGTTAGTTCTGCATGTAAGGACAGAGAGAACAATGTAAGTGAGACATCAGGTTCATGGACTTGTTTGGGATGCTTTCTTTGTATGTATTTAGTAGTAGCTCAAAGGCATATAAGTTTAAAAAATTAAAGTCTCCAAGAATGGACCAATGATGGGAAGGTACTAGGAACCAAAAAATATTTTATCCACATGTGACTTACGTGTTTGCTTATCAGTGTGGCCCTAGCTGATAGCGATGACATCACAAGTGGTAGGAGATGGTGGCTTCATTACTTTTCATTGGGCCTTCTTACCCATGGGCACAGTCACTCAGGAGGCACAGGGGACCCGCACTTGAAGCAGACTGAAGTGAGGCCTAGGTGCTGGTGAATATGCCTGTTCCCTGAGGTCCATGCCTAAGGGAGACTCATTCCTTAAGAAAAGGGAGATCTTGTCTGTGGAACTTTGTGTTGTGTCATGTGAACTAATGAATTAACCAGTGAAGGGAGATGTTTGGGCCCATGATGAGTGCCACTCATGAGTTATCTGAACCAGGATATTGTGATTTAATCTGGATGGCGCTGAGGTCCTTTACAATTTTCCCTTCCTTCGGGAATAGTGTGGACAGGTGTCCTTGGCTTTTGTGGAAGAAACAGCCTTTTTTATTTCCATACCAAAACTGGGGGAGGGAGACGTGGGCCCAATAAGCTAAGTACATTCTAAGCTTATGTTTTACTCTTATTATGAAATTAGCCTACGAATGTTAAAAAGTGAATTTAAAAAAGAAGAGAGTTATTACAAAGGAATGCAAGACGAGGATCATCATGACATCTACCCAGCAGCTCTTAGCATTTTGTTTAGGAACACACGGCCATTTTTATGTGAATGTTTTCTCCTATGTCGGTAACTGGTCTTGGATAGTTGCTTTAGGGAAGTGATACCCATTCATCGGGATAGAGAATTGTTAAATGTCCACATAATTTCCAGATGAGCAGACCAATGATGAGACTGGTGATTCAAAGTCTTTGTTTTTATTGGTTTTCTTAATAAAAATGGAAAAAGAAGCAAGTCTACTATTATTTAGGACAGTGCCTATAGTCAGATCAAAATGATATTTAGCATTGTAGCCCAGGGCTGTTACATTGTAGATTTCCATGAGTCTAAAACTAAAGGGATGGTTTTAGGCCTCAGTTTATTTTCTTAAAGTCAGCATGGGACTAATTAGGAATAAGTATTATCATGTGAAATTCCACACCATTCTCCTCACCACAACTATCAAAGAATTTTTTCTTTTTCTTTCTGTTTTTTTTTTTTTTTTTTGGGGGGGGGCAGGATTTCTCTGTGTAACCTTGGCTCTCCTGGACTTGCTTTGTAGCGCTGACCTCAAACTCAAAGAGATTCCCTGCCTCTGCCTCCCCGAGTGCTGGAATCACAGGTGTGCATCACCTGAGAGAGTTTGTTTGTTTGTTTACATGCTTTAATCATGATTATCATTTTGTGCCTCTAAAGTAAGGAGCAGGAAGCCCCAGGTGAGCAAACATCCCTGCTGATGTTCTGGGATTGAGCACACTTTATAGAAGCCAGGTAAATGATCTCTATGAAGGAAATTTTTAAATAAGACACGAGAAGTGCCAATTGTGGAGTATCTCATAAACAACAACAACAAAACAAAATCAAACAAACAAACAAACAAACAGAAAAACATATGCCTTATTTAAAGCCCAGCTAAGGACCATTCTCAAATAGATGCTGGACATGGCACACATTTAACTGCCGTGGACTGCATGGTTGTTTCCCAGAGCCCTTCACAGCTCACTGTGAACTCTGCGTGCAGTACAGTGGAGCATAGCAGATGTCAGTTTTGTCAGGTGTGTGCCTTTGTTAACAAGCGTATTTTGTAGGTTTCCTCTAGGTTTAAGGGACAGACAGACACCCATCATGAGGAAAGGCTTGACAAGAAGTCACTCTGCTGATTAATACACGTATTCCAGCCAGAGGCTGTCAGAGATAAACAATACAATCCATTTGCTCCACAAAGAAAAAAGGATAGTGATGGAGTAATCATTACTTATCAATCCATGATTAGCCACATAAACTCAAGAGAGCCTTATTGGACAGTAGACAGTCTTGCCTCTGTCTGTGATGCCTGTTGGTGGAGCTATCGGAGTCGGCACGTTTGATAATGTTGGCTATAACTCTGAGGGCCTTTGTCCAGTGAGAAACGGGCAATGTTTGGTGTAGAAATTATCTTTGAGCAGAAGCTGGAAAATTTTAGTCATTTTCTCTTGGGGATTTTGCGGTTCAATGACAAGAAAGGTGTTGCTTCAAGAGAATTAATAAATCAGTAGGAAGCAAATACATAAAGTAAGAAAGACATACCTGTTTTTGTAACAGGTAGTATAATAAGCCAAGGATAATTAAAAAGCAAGAACACTTGTTATTAGGAAGGAAAGTAGGCTGGAGTTTGTAACCTTCTTTCATATTTAGAGTTTTAGTAGCTGTTGTTAAAACAGTGGCTTGGGTGTTCACTGTTCATTAACAAAAGGGAAACCGCATCAGCTAGCAATTGACTCACAGATGGTTGTAACCATTGTAGAAACTCTTGGGTAATGTAGCGGTCTTACATGTTTATTATATTTAAAACCCCAGGTTAGATAGTAAAGTTTATTATTATTATTATTATGTAGCTCTGCTGGACCCCATTATATTCTAAATCTATTCTAAATCTTCTTTTTCCCTCCTGTGGTGAACATAGGACCCCTGATTTAATTATTTAATTTGGAGCCATTATCCTGAGTAAGGAGCATAGTCGAGAATAAAGGTAAGACCCTTAGTTGATGGTCTCTGTTTGGAGTCTTTTATATATGGATGCTAGCTGATTGACTTCCAAATGAGAAATATTCACATACTTAAGACAGATAACTTTCTCTAAGTATGGTCCAGTCATGGGAAAGCAGTGTGATTTATAAAATCATGTTTAATCCAAATTGACACAACAGAAATGATTTTAAAAGAAGAGAGTGGGTATTTAACTTACCCCCCAGAACCCAGTGCTACTCTGAGCTGACAGTCCCAACATTTTATTCCTTGGGGGACGTCCCATATGAATATCCATGAGCCAATGAGGTGGAATATTGGAGATGGGAGCTTCATTACATTTTGTGGTCCATTTTTGACATGAATGAACAAATGAAATAGAACCACACAAAAACTGAGGTGGATTTGACCCCAAACAGATGCTGACTTCCTGTCACCCTGATAGAAGCAGTATGACCTGAATGTCTCAAACAGAAAAGAGCCCCAACCCAAAACCTTGTTTTGGGGACTGTGTATTGTTAGTTTTATATCAACCAGTAAATAAATGAAGCAAACACCCAGCATGGGCCAATGACAAGGAGCATGGAGTTTCTGACAGAGGACAGTGATCAAACCCTTATGACATCTGAGGACTATTGCAAAGAGGTGTCTGCATCCCATAGAGACGAGGCCCCAAAGCCTGATCTTTGTGGGTTTGTGGCACAATCCACATTCCTATAATAAAATTACCCCATGAATAAAGAATATATTAATGAATAAAAAATGAGAAAGATACGTCTGACCAGGCAAGATGGCACATGCCTACAATTCTAGGATTTAAGGGGTTGAGACAGTAATATCCGGAGCTTAAGGCCAGCCAAGGTTATATTCCCCTAAAAACACAACAAAACCCAACAACAAACAGACAAAAACAAAATAAAGCAACGAAACAAACAAAAAACCCACAACAGGGCAGGTGGGACAGCTCCACGTGTACAGGCACTTGTGACCAATGCTAGTGATCTGAAGTCCACCCCAGAAACCTCAGAGAAGAGCAGACTCCTACACCTGTCCTCTGACTTCCACACAAGCTCAGTCACAGACAGGCGCGGACGCACGCCTGCACCCACAGTGAAACAAATTTGAAGATAAATCAACGCTATACATGGACTTTTTAAAGCATTTAATGCGGTCTGGCCTGTTCGTAATTTTGAGACTACTAGTCCAGGTGCCTACCAGGCTTAGAAGTCACGTGATGACTTCTAAGGAACCACGTTGGGGCAATTTGCCCCATGCCAAGGAAGAGAAGATACATTTCTGTAATTAGTGAGTAAAGGAGACACGCACAGAGAGAGCAACAATGAGACTGTCCCATATGCCATCCCCTAATAAAATCTAGGCAATTTTATTGAAACAAACACAAGTAAGTTTGCTACTTTTGAGCAGTGGTATAAGAAAAGCATAAATTTCACTCAGGACATATCAGTATGCATGGATTCACCAGTATTGCAGTGTGATTATGAAGAAACACAATCCTAAATTTGTATCTCCACCAGTTTTTGTTTTTGTTTTTTTGTTTTTTTAATTCAGCATTTTGTGCACCAGTGGAAAACTTTACACCATCGACTCCTGAAATCCATCGGGAAGGCAGAGACTTTTCTTGGCCTTTCCAGTGGAGCATTTAGGCATTTACCTTATTAGTGTTCTGTTGCTGTCTTCATAGCTGTAAACTTTAAAATTTTCTGCTAAAAAAATTACCCTATGAGAAACTAAACCCTCCAAGTAGTGAGTGAGTCAAGCAAGGGCTGAGGAGATCACTGAGTCGGTCAGGCACTTGCCTTAAAATCTCCAGGACCCGGTTTCCGTCCCCAGGGCACATTAAATTTAATAAAAAAAAAAAAAAATGGAATGCGATGGTGTGTACCTGTAATCCCAGTGCTGGGGAGGCAGAGGCTAGGCCAGATGCATGAGAGACCCAACCTCAAAAACAAGATGGTACCTTCTGAGCACTGGCACCCAGCATTGTGCTCCGGCCACACACACACACACACACACACACACACACACACGTGCACCTGCACATACAAGCACACGGTTTCCCAGGAAAGCTAAGCTTGGGCCATCACAGAGGTTGTACCATATGTTAAATCTCTCACCTCCAATTTTGCACAAAGTTCAATGGAAATGACAACCTTGCCATTGTGCATGTTGCTAACAAACACGTCAGATGTTCCCAATAATTAGAGTTATTTTTCTCATTTTTACTGCTGGGTTCAGTGGTGTTCATTACATTATTTAAAATAAAAACTTAATGCAGGTTCATAAATATAAAGTGTTGTTCTCGCTCCTAAATCCCGTAAGGTGGTAACTCTAAAGGAATGCCGACTTCCCAAGTGGTCCGACCGGGGCAGTTAATTGATTACCCCCCACCTGCTGTTCCTCTCAAAAGCCAAGCGACACTAATTCACTTGAATGTTTGCCTTTTACCCCCCAGAATGAGGATGGCTGGTACGGCTCCATCATTGCATTTTGGGGAAGATCTTGCCTGTTCACTGCTAGATAAGGGGAAGACACTGAAGTAAGTGCCAGTCAGTTCTGTGTCCTTGTCGGGAAAGGGTTGCTATCATGTCCATAGAATGGTTCCTAGGGAACGGGTTCAGAGGTGGCCAGGCACTCACCAGTGATGGTGGTGTTCTAATCAGGGTGGATTCACCTCCGCACAACCCCAGAATAGAGAAGATGAGCGTATTTCAGCCATTTTCAGAATGTTTTAACGTGACTTGGCTCATAATGTACCTAGGCACTTCTGTATTGTATTTACAGTCTCCTCACTAAGGGAAGAATATAATGAAACACTGAATCTTCTCGTGAGATGGTAGTTCATTGTGCCGCCTTCAAAAATAGAGCTATTAAGTGAAGGAAGCCCAGACATAGCTGTGTGAGTGACAGCGACTGATGGGGTGCCCAGAGGTGCATTCATTCAGATTCACCATGTTGAGGCTCTCAGCAGAAAGGGCAGGCTGCAGCTCTGTGGGGTATGCACTGTCGAGATGTATTTGTATCTTCAAGTATCTTTCTTCCCCTAATTCGTGGATATTGATTATATTTTTAGTGAATCAATGAATGAGTCAAGAATAATGTGACTGACTAAAAACCTAGCATAACGGGTCTGCATCTCTGATGAGCATGTGTGGGCTGTCTGAATTCAATGTCTTGCTTAAGCCTGGTCTGTGACTGTGAGGCCATGAGTGTGTGTGGGAAATGTGCTTCGGGGGTTTTTCTCTGTTGCTGTGTGTCTTGTTACTATTGTGTCAATCAGTGCATCAGTGCAAGGCAAAAGGCTCTGCCTCATGCAGTTATGGAACGGGCTAACGCAGCAGAGACTGGTGTCCTCTTAGCTGTCCCCTCAGCATCGCTGTTGGGGTGAGTGCTGAGATGCTTACAGCATGACTGTTTCAAAATGTACCACGAACCCTCTATAACAAAGTTCCGTATTCAGCATGATATCAGACTAGTGACACTAATATAACTAGGTACATCCATTAATAACAACACCGCGAGGCATTCTAATAACATACTAACATGAAGGCCTTTCGATAAACAGCACAATTAACAGAACCTCAAAGACTAACAACTCTGAAACATGGGCGTCGTCAAAGCCCAAATGCTGAAACTGGGTGATTTCAACAGATGCTCTTGCACGCACTAGTTTTCTTCTGAAAAGAAGAATGTGGCACCATAGCATGCCTGAGAAACTTAGTTGCTCTCTTTTAAAGCTAATTTGTAGATCACTATTATAATGAGTGGACGAGCACAAACGGAACTTAATGCTTTGGCCCATTTTCCCGAGGGTTCATGAAGATGGTTGCTGTTATTATAAGTGAGGAAAAGAGTAGCTTCCTGTCTGAATCCAGTATGGACAGGGGACAAGAATGGTGTTGTTTGCTTGTAAGTAATCCCAATACTTGCGAGGCGGAAGCAGGAAGATTACTGTGAGTTCCAGCCTAGGCCCAACAATATAATGAGACTGTTCCTGAGAGGTAAAATTAAAAAGTAAATAAACACATGGTGAATGAATGAATGAATGAATGAATGAATGAATGAATCCTTCTAACTCTTTGAACACCTCCGTCTCTAAGAGTTGCACAGACCTCAATGTTCAGATTTCTCTTATGATGAGTTAAATTTTAACTTTTTCAGCCAATTTCCAAACTACATGCCATGCTGGCTACCACACTGAATAAGTGTTCCTTTTTGAGCAAGTCTTGCTGGTATAGACTGGGCCAGCGCAAGATCACAGCGAATATGTAAACATGTAAATATGTAAACAGCGAAACTCTGAGGTCTGTCTTTGAAAAGTGGCCTTGTGGGTCCAACAAGGGAGCAGGACTAGATTAGACGGTCAAGATTCTTGGGTATTTAGCCCAGGGATGGTTACTTTCCGCATATATAGACTGATTTCTTTTTTTTTGTGTGTGTGTGTGAGAAATTGTTAAGGCATGAGAGACACAGTTGGGTCAATATTAAAACAGCTGGGAGCGTGGGCCCTCATGAAGCATCGCACAGACCATCAGTGTCCATTTTTAAAACACTGAACCCCGGGAGGGATGTCCATGTAGATGGCAAAAGGACCACAAGTTCAGGCTAAGCTAAGCTACATACTGACCCTTTGTCTCTGCCCCGCCTCTCACTAAAAACAAAAGAAAGCCTCCAGACTATTTTGTCTTTAAATTAAAAAAAAAAAAAAAGTCAGGTTTCATTTTATTTTCTATTTTTATGATTTGTCTGTTTTTTTTTTTTGATGAATGTGTGCTATGTGCATTTTAGCCGAGTGTCCAGAATAGTCATGCTTTTTTTCCCCCTTCTTCAAAAATATTCAATTGGAAAGGGGGTATGCTCTGCCTCTGTGGTGGGAGCCATAGACAGGTATGCACAGTCTCGATCATTCTTGTTTCTAAGTGATGGATTGACCCTGGTTCAGTTTACCATTTAAAATGAATAGCTAGATAAATAAAAAGGTGACCTATTCTTGGGTCAATGAGAAAAATGGGAATTGACTTCATGAATATTTTAGTATCAAACTAGTGTCTTGTAAAATGATCTAAATCTCAATGGCTCATTATTTTAAAACTTGGTATCGTACAGCACAGAATGGAGACCATCGCTGACTGGATTTCTCTCTGAGAAGAGGCGTTTCCTATTGCTGTTGTGGGTAAGATACTTTATGGCTACATACTATATCAAAGATGCCTGTCAATCAGGGCTGGTTTCTCTGTGGTGCTCATTGAATTAAAGCCTAGCCATCTCCAGACTAATAATACAAATGTGTTAGGAAACTTGCTGTGAACCCCACTGGCATATATTACTCTTTTCTTTGTGCACTGCAGTTATCTGTTCACAGAATCTGAGGCTGCACGTTCAATATGGCTGCTGCCATACACACATGGCTGCTTATATATAAAGTAATTAAAGTGAAGTGAAATGTAAAATTCAATTTCTCCGTTGCAGTGGCCACATTTCAAGTACTCCGTATCTACCTCAGGTTATGGGGCGCTGTGTTGGAGATGCAGTTATTATCATGTTTGCATTATCCTGCCAGGTGTTATTGGGCAGCTCTGCACAGCCCAGGCAGCACACAGGAAGAGGAAGGAGAGACAGATGCGATGGCCATGAGGCAGGCATTCGAATTGATCCATCCATGGTTCACTGGAGGCCCCTGGAAAAAGAGGTCAGGGAAAGAGCTAAGCAGTGAGAAAAGAACCTATAAGGAGACCTCAGCTCCAAACGAACTTATTGTTCTTGGCTGTTTCTTTAAAATTCATGAATATTTATTTTATTGCTCCCAGTGAGGCGAGGAATGGGTCAGTAAACAAAACTGTCTCTGAAAGAAAAAGAAAGAGGTCAAAGATTGCTTTATGGATCAGTGAGGAGTACCCTGGGGTGTCTGCACGGAGGACTTTGATTAAGCCCTGTAGCTCTGAGGTCCATTGTGAAAAATCTCATTTATTATCTCTTTGGGATATGAGCTTAATCCAGCAATCAAAAATAACATGGGCTGTACTGTTGGTCTTCTGTGTACTAAAGCACTGTATAAATCAACCAAGAACTCTATAAATGAACACAAACAAATGGGTCATTCCTCTTCCAGAAAGGTATTTAATGCAATAAGAATCGTTACTAATGCATTTATGAAGCATTGCATCCTAACCATGAATTAATCAAGGCTGATGTGAGGCAAATAGTATTTGGAGAAGCATTTGTTGTTTTGAGATGTGTTGCATTTTTTTTTTACAACAAGGAAAGAACAAAACAGACATTTAAGTTACTTATTTACTAAAGAAAACCCCAGTTGAAGAGGGCTTCCCTATGAGTCTATGCTGACAGTATGTCCCAGATGAGCAGGTGTTGTATCTGTTCAAATTTTCACTGTATCTCAATCCCAATCCTCAGTTTAATTTTTAAAATTAGAAAAAAATGAATTAATTTTTCCATTACTGAACCTATAATATAATCTGGCATTAATATATTGTCCTGTATCTGTGGAATCACCATTGGAGTAGCATTATTATATCTAGAAAAAGTACATTATTATCTCTATTAGTGAAGCCAGTGAGAATCTTGTATTAAGAAACATGTGAATTGTTACAATACTTCATGACTCCAGAGAAGGAGGATAAACTGATCCCCGCATGTTTTTGCAATGTGATGTTCGCATTTCTTTATTTTCACTCACTGTACTTTAATAAAGTTTTTGTGCTGTCTCCTTGAAGTTTTGGGGATAAAGAATCCCAAATCCAACTAGACGGCTCCCTATATATAAGGGAAGAAAGGTGACATTCTTAATTTCTTAAACTTTATTAGAAAACAGTTGCAACAAATCTTCACATGCTAAAATCAGCCAGACCCAAAGACTTAAACTTTATTAAGTGGCAATACATACCTGTTGGCACAAATTTACAGACATCTACAGAGTTTTACACAACTTACAAAACTTAAGCCATCACATTTTCCTGATCTACAGCACGCATCCTCAGAACCAGTCTCCAGTCTGCTTCACACATGGGGCACTGCCCCTACACTTCTCACCTGTCCTCCTGCTCACCTGAAGACCCAAGAGCCACGTGAGTGCTATTCGAAACAATTCTGTCTTGTTTTGCTCCTTGGGAAGCTCTGTGTCATTGTAGAGTAGTGAATGTATGGCAGCATGGGACTGAGTTACTCTGAAGAGCAAATTAAAATCAGTTTTAAGCTGTTCCCATACTTTTATTATTAAGGGATTAATATGTTAATCATCAACAATGCGTATATCACCAGAGAACTGGAAGGCTGGTATGGACCAATGATGATGACCACTGTTTGGAGTGTCTGAGGTACACATTGTAGGATATCTCATGTGTCCCCCTAAGAAAGGGTCAGTGTTAGGCATTTGCAGCACATCCTAGGCATTAGAATCAGGCACTTTCATACTCTTTCTTAGTCGATCAATGAATCACGATATAAGTACACACAAACGCAAATGCAATAAATTGTGAGAGCCATCAACCAATTAAGAAAACAAGCAGTTGATCACCACTGCAGCAATACATTCAGAAAATCTGCAAATCTGTTAAGAAGTCATTGACATAAAGATGTATATAACCTTTTGTCAGGTCCATATATGCAGTGTGATTAATGGATTAAGCCCTAGTGAGGATCAAGGTCTTAGCATTTTAAACATTACTTCATTTCTTAAGGAACTATCATAAGAACTTAAACTTACATAACAAGCAGTGAAAGAAGAAATGTAGAAGTAATTGGAAAAATATCAATTTTTTTATTATCTTCCCTGGCTTGTACTCCCTGGATGGAGGCCTACTCACCCTGGCAGGTCCATGGCCGTCCTATCCCCTTGTGTAAGAAGCATGGAAACTGATATAAGTGGAGTTAAAGTTTTTGTCTTGGTTTGGGTGTCCTTGATAAGACACCCCTGTCTTGGTAGAGGCATGCATAGGCTCCTGTCAAGCCTACTAAAACTGTGTGGTCAACTCAACATGACCATGAACACCGAGCACTTTGAGGATTTCCAAAATTAAGAGAAAAGACAGAGTCAGGGCATCACAAGGTCCATTGAATAACTTCATTACATCAGGCTCTTTTGCTCAGGTCTAGAGATGAATAGTCATGTAAATATTATAAGTGACACAAATAGTTAGGTAATAAAGACATGCAAAGTGAGAGAGAGAGAAAAAGGGCAGTGTTGGATCTGTGTTGACCACTGATGTTGTATGATGTTGTATGGATTGTGACTACAGGTCTGGGAGTCTGAGGTTGTGATGTAGATATCAGGTGGAATATAGTGTGTTACCATAATCTTTATGTTCCCAAGTTTAAATTCATTTATATAATTAGATTAAAATATAAGAAATGAAAGCAGCAAAGCGTTCTTCAATTACGAAAATAATGCCAAGTAGTCATTTGAACATACAAATATCAAAGTTCAGAAATCCACAAGTCAATCTCCAGAGCTAGGACCCCTTAGCTGAGTAAAATGGTGGCCCAAATTCTTATTAGGGTAAGAACTAAGTCTCCTGTTTATTTTCTTAAGAAGAATGTATTATAGCTTCATATAATCAGGGGGTAAAATAAAATGAAACAATGCAAGGGACGTGGGAATGAAAATAATTGAGTATAATCTAACATAATTTATAACATAATTACTTATAATTGTTTATTATTGTTTATAATCTGTTCTTTTCACCTCTGTGTGTATTCTGAAGCCGAGTTACCTTTCTGTCTCCCTCATGAGGTCAATGGCTAGCCTAGGTTCTTGGGAGCACAGTAGGCCATGTAAGTACAGTTCATGGTCTTGTGTTACTCTGGCTGCTTTTTTTTTTTTTATTGTTAAGTGAATTACAAATTACTCAAATATGACACCCATTGTTAATGACAGATACAACCTGCCATGGACACAGTCTATTAATATCTATAAGATTAAAATTGATGACACATTGAATCAACAAAGTTCCTTAGACAGCTCTAAAGCATGCTTAATAATATAATATACACATTAATTAATTTAATACACATTAAATACACATTAATTAATTAATGTGTATATATAATCTAGTATTAATATTGCACAATATATGTGCATTGACAGCTATAAAGCACTATCATAAATATAGACAAAACACATTATTTTCTCAATTACAAAGCCAAAGTGCAGGCCAGTGAGGACCTTTTCTTATGTTACAGGTAGATGGTTAATCCAGTCTAACATGACTCCAGACAAGGCAAATAAACTCAGCCCCTCACAGTTTTTTAATGGTGTTTGTATTAATTTTCAAGGAAACAGCCATCTTAAATTAGATGTAGGGTTTCAGAGATCCACTAACCTCAGGCTCGGTGTCTTATGTCCACAGCAGAAAACCTTAGAACCTGTGCTATTGGTCATAGGAAAGCTTGACTTGATATGAGGTAGTAGAAGATATTGTCTCTGTGGATGTAAAGCGAGTCTCCCACTTCCTCTGTGGGCTGTAGGTCTCAAAATACAATTAGGATTATGTAGACCCACATTATTTTGCTGTCTTTTATCTCTGTCTGCACCAGGCAGGTGCTCTAGTACTGAACTATACCCTCAGCATATTACAAATTTTGTCATCAGTGAAACACAGAAAAGAAAACGGAAATAAGGTGGGGGCTTTGAATAAGAAAATCGTACGGTTTTTAAAGTGTAAACTAAGGAATGCTGTTAGTTCAAAATCTGCTTGTGAAGGGCTAATCCATTTGGGCCTGTGAAGGGAATTTAGACGTAGTCTTTGATGTTGTTCTGGGTGTGATAATTATTATCTCCAGTTGACCAATGTGTGAAACTATATACTAACCCATTTGAAAATTAAGTTAATGTTCTTTTTAAAGAACAAATAGTAAAATAGTAATTACTTTTGCAAATGTTTCTGAAGCGCTATGGTTCAGCATACAGAGGTGAAGCTCTTGACCCTTGTTGATAAGTATGCAGTTAGACTTTTTTAAGAGAAACTGAGGTGCTTCAGGCTGCGATGTAATGTCCAGATTTTCAGTCTATGGACAAGATGAAATGCAATTGAGCAAGTGAAGATTAATGCATGCATAGACACAAAGGGAGGACATGGACACTAGGGAGATTGATGTGGAGTAAGAAAAAGAAGACTCAGGTTCTGTCACCTTTGTGCATTGTTTTTGTGTCCCTTCCTCAGCCTGTCTCCTATTCCTTCCCGCCTCCCCACCCCCACTTCTTACATGCCTTTCTCTCTCCTTCTAAAGCATCCTCATTTTCCTCTCTCCATCTGATTCATCCCTTCTTTTTTCTCTCCACTGTTCTTTTCTCTTCTTGTCTCCCCTAATCTTAAAAACAATCTCAAGGTGTACCCTCTTAATCCCTTTCTTAGGTTCACTTTCCTTTTGTCTCCCTCTCCATTCTCTCTCCTTCTCCTTCCCTTAATCCCTCACCTTATTCTTTCTCTATTCTGTTCTCTCTCATTCTCTTATTCTCTTTCAAATCCTTGCTTACATTCCTCACTGACTCCTTTGTTTTTTGTCATTCCTTCCTTTCTGTCTTTGTCCTCCTTTATCCTTCTCATAGTCTCCCCTCACTCTTGACTTCCCTTCTTCCCTTGGTTCCCCTCTGTAGCATTCCCTCCACTCCTTACTACCACCTTCTTTATTTCATGATGCAGTCTTGGCTGGCTTCCAGTTTATCATTCTCCTGCCTCAGCCCTCTGAGCTCTCTGATTGTGTGAGCCATCACTTGTAGCTCTGCTTGGATTGTTTGTCTATAGGTAGATGCTGTTTTTTTCTTCTGTGTTGTTAACTTGTTACTTTCTCAATTTCTCCTGAAATACGATATATGACAAAAGAGATGGATGAGCAAATATATACACAAGTAGGTCATGCTGATATTCACTCAATGATTACACACACAGAATAACAGTTGCCATTGTCCTTGACCAGAAAGACCTGTGGCATGATCCCTCAGGTTAAACTCATCCATATTTATCCTATTTCCGAGGAAAACACACACTGTTGTCCCATGGAGAACTAGTATAAGAGACAAAAATAATTTCTCTTTTTAAATAGATTTAATTCTATGTGTTATTCAGGGAGTAAAAATTAACTGAGAAAAACTAGGCCCATTCTAACCTAATAATTCCCATCCTAATATCTATGTGAACCTAGTAAGACTTTGTCTATAAAAAGGATAACCAGGATATAAAGGATATAAAAAGGAACCATAGTGGTTCCATTATCATAACCTATGTTTTATTTTCCAGAATGGACTCACAATGCCTGAATTAGTCAGTGTCCAATGACACAGGTTCTAAGGATTTCTGCTGTGGACGTAAGACCCCTAGCCTGAAGTTAGTGGATTTCTGAAATCCTACATCTAATTTAAGATACTTGTGGCTTGGTTTTTGTGATTTGTTGTTATGTGTTGAGCAGTTAGCCTTTCAGTAAGTAAATATATAAATAAATGAGAAAAGGGGTTGTCCAGGTATCAGTCAGTGTATATGGCACAACGTAGAGCTCTTGTCATGTATATAATTTGTGCTTTCAGTTCTTAAAAAACGCATGAATGGGGAATGTTTTACCTCTTCATCTGAGGTCACTAGATATGGGAACAATAAGTGACTATCAACATTGTCAATTTTTGAAACTTGATTTGAAAATTAAAAAAAAATACCTACCACACACTGAACCGGATCCAAAGACTTAATCTTATTAAAAGAAAACACATAGGTATACCATAGGTTTATATGTTTCTCCAGAAAAGGCTCTACAACGTTTCCTTAAATGAGTTCATCAGGTGATCATCATCCTGTGTACTCATCCCACAGATCCAATGGCTCCTGTCTGAATTTAAACACAGGCCCATGCTCATATACTCTATACCTACCTTCTATGTTCACATGAAGCCACAAGACCTGTGTGAGTAATATTCCAAATTATTGCTTTGGTCATTTCCATGCTCTATGTTACTATAGAGTATAAAATGTATCCAGCCAAGGATACCAGTCACTGTGTAGGACAAAATGAAATCATTATTTCCCATTTGAACTGTTAATGAATGTATGTATTCATCAACATGCATTTTGTTACTGGAGAAGAGGAAGTGTAAAATGGGCCGATGATGACAGGGGTTTCGGGGTTATAAGTCACTGACGATGACTACATCACTGGAGGTCTGAGGTCCATAGCGTAAGATGTCTCAAAAACCCCTCACATGGTGCGCTTAAATGTTGGGCACGTGCAATATATATTAGGGATTAGAGTCACAAACTCTCATCATTTTATAGTTGACCATTGAATCATGACATAAATAAACACCCAAATGCAGATAAGTTATTTAGGGCATTGAGCAATTATGAAAACAAATATTTGACCACATATTAAGATACAGCAAAAATCTATTTAGAGTGAATTAGCTTAAAATCACCTTTATCCGAGGTGATCTATACAGTAAAATTAATGGCTTAAGTCTTTGTGATGGTCAAAGCCTTGATTTTAAACACTACTTTATTTCGTAAGAAAACTATTACAACAATTTGAATCTTAAACAACGAAAGGAAAAATGTCACAATAATTGGACACATTCTTTATTATCTTTGCTGCTTTGTACTCCCTGGATGGATGCTGATTAACACATCATTTCCTGGATGAGAGGTCCATGGCTGCGCTATCTCTCTGTGTAAGGAGTTCAGCAACTAATGTAAGTCAAAGTTTTTGTCTTGTTTTCAGGGGCCTTGATAAGACACTGCTGTCTTGGTAGAGGCAGGCATAGGTTCCTATCAGGCCTATTGAGACTTTGTGGATCTGGGGCTAGGATTTAGTGATGAATATTCATGTGAATATTTGTATTTACAATGTAAATATTCATGTTTACTCAGGTGTGACAAATATGAAATATAAATACAAAGAGGGTGGGAGAAGGCAAGGGGCAATGTTGGATCAGTGCTGATCACTGATGATGTATGATCATCATCATGTGTGGATCTTGACAATAGGTCTGAGAGCCTCAGGTCCACAGCAGAACTCATGTAGTTGTGCAGCTGTGAGATAGAGCATGTTATCTTGATCTTTATATTCATTAGTTTTTGTTTTGTTTTTATAAGTAGACTAGTACAGAAGAAATAAGAAAAGGGCATGGTAGCCTCACATTATGAAAATAATGTCAGAGCATACTGACCGTGCACACTTCAAATTTCAGAAGTCCGTTACAAATGAGTCGACCAGATCCTTGTCCAGTTTTAAAATGATAGTCTCGTTCTTAGAGTATGGGCCCAAGTCTCATATTTATTTTCCCCAGAAGGAAATTTCAGCTTTTATGTAATTAGATTAACGAAGTATAAACAAACTATACAAATATCATTGATTCAAATGTAATTATTTGCCCAATCTTTTTTTCTTCATCTCTATGTGATATTGTCAAACCAGGTTACCCTTCTTCCCTTGCCATGAGGTCCATGGCTAGCCTTGGGCATTGGGCCTTGAGAGCACAGGAGACTGTAAATATAGTTCATGTTCTTGGGTTACTATGATCAATTCTCCTTAGTGTTAAATGAATTCCATATAACTCAAGAATGACAACCATGCTTAATGATAGATGTAACATTTCAAATTTTATTAATGTCTATAAAATGAGGATGGATATGATGACACACTGAATGACCAAAGATCCTTTATATAGCTTAAAGCCTATTTAAGAATATGTGTTGTAAGCTTTTATAAATCTAACTGGTTATCTAATTATTACAAAGCAATAATAAGGATTTATTACAATATATTTATTTATTACAATAATAATAAGGATTTCAGTAAACAAATGTAGAAATTAATGAAAATGTGTAGGGCTCTGGTAGCATGTGAATCATGACCTGTGACTACTGGTCTATTTGCATGAGGTCTACATCTTAAGCCTGTGCTTTATACTTTGGGTTCTAGGTACAGATATGTTAGGTACAGTTGTGGATGTGTGTGTTAATTAATTTTCACTATATTTTTATGCCTCAGACTACTGAAGGAATCATTGCACAAATAACCCCAAAAGCAAAGACAGTTATTCTTCTTTGACAGTTCGGAAAATAAATACATGGCAGAAATTTTACAATTCTGCAGAAAATACCTTACATCGAGTGTCTGTTGATGTGATCAGTACCATGAGCACGGGCAGCTCAGGAGAAGAGAACTTATTTAATCTTTAGCTTATGGTCATCGAGGAAAGTCAGGGAGGAATTCAGGGCAGAGACCTGGAGGTAGTTCCTGAAGCTGAGACTGTGGAGCAACTCAGCTTGTCCTTCAGAACTGTCTTGGTCTACTTTCTCATAGCCCTCGAGCATCTGTACCGAGTGCTGGGATCTGCAGTGGACCTGGCCCTCCTCCATCAATTATTCATCAAGGAAATGTACCACAGACTGGCCTATAGGCCAGTCTTGTGGAAACATTTTCTTATTTTAAGTTTCTTCTTTCAAAATGACTCTAGCTTGTGTCACATTGACCAAAGATCTAACCAGGACAGTACCCTAAAGCCATATAAAGAAATGAACTGTCACCTTGCTTATAACTCCAGCAAAAGTAACTGATATAACTGCTTGTTAGGATCTCCTACATGCTCAGCATTCTTAAGAAAAAACGGAAACAAAACCAAAAGGTTCCCGTAGAATTGAACTCCTTGTCAATTAATGACATTGAAAGAGAAATGTAAAAATAATTGGATGCAGTACTTACATTTTAATCTCTTCTGCTTTCTACGCTCAGAATGCATGTTTCCAAGGTTGTTTGCATTCTTCTCTGGTCTCACGGTCCATGTGTCCAGAGCATATAGACTAATTTTTGTGTCATTTCTTGGTGCCTTCCAAAATGATATCTGCGTATGTAATGACTGATAAGTTCAGCATATCTGTCAGATAGGATACTGATTAGTCAGTATGTATAAAAAAATAGCAATAGCTAAGGAAAGAGTGAAACATAATGTGATGAAAGGTGCATGAACAGCCGTGCAATGTTCTGGGGTCTTACTGCCAGGTCTTTCCCACTCACAGGGCTCTCCCCGTTACTAGTAAAATGATTCAGTATTCAGTAAACACATGTGGAGATTAATAGAGTAGATGAGGGTTACTGTTAGATTAGTGATTGCTCTGGGTGTCATCTTAGCTGTGGATCATTGCTACCGCTCCAGTTGTCTGAGGTCCTCACCTTCATGACAGACACTAGGAATGAGCCTTAAAATCAGGCAAAAATATTAACAAAAAGTATATTAGTAAGGCACTTTTCAACTTAAATAATTTCCGGGCCCGGAGCTATGTCTCAGTAGATGGAAAGAACTTGATTGATGCTCTTGCATAGGACTCAAGTTGGGTTAAATTACCAACATGTCAGCTCACAAGGGCCTGTAAATAATACTCATAGGTTAAAGTAAAACAAATGGGAAACAATTCCACAATCAATGGGCTATTAATATATTTAAAATTTATTGACCTAGGACTTCACATGAGGTAAAATTATAAGCAACTTTGTGTAGCCAGACCTGTGTCTAGTGTTTTTATCCTTAATAGAACATATGATAGTATCATACATACTTAGATGAGTGAAAGGAGACAGTAAGGCAAGCAGAAGATTACGTGAATGAATGAACAAAAAAAAGGTCAGGGTTTTTTTTTTTTTTTTTTTCTGATTTCTTCTGTTTTGTTCGCTTAGAATGGATTCTGCCCCCAAGATGATTTTCACATTCTCTCGGTCATGACCCTCATAATGAGCTGTTTCAAATTGTAATATAGAAGTAGTGTAATTACATTTTGTATTCTAATGTTGCTTCATGTTGCACTTAAAGTGTGTTTACTGTATTAATAAGAGTGCTTTAGAGCAATTTAGGAAGAACAGTAGTGGCAGATTTTGTATGTTTGAAACACAAGGCTTAATAAAGTTGTGTCATATTAAGGATTTGTGATGAAAAGGTCTTTATCATTCCAAAAGAAACTGAGGAACATTGAAGGATACTTAAGGATCTTGTTCTTAGTTTCTTTCTTTTTTTTTTTATTGACTCAAAATTCTCTCAGTAGTACTTGTGATCAGTGGCTCAATAAATGTGCTTAAACTGGTAGGGAAGAGAATGGCTGATGTTGGATCAATGATGGCCGTGGGTGCTGTATGAGTCATACATTGTGACTACAAGTCTTGCAGTCTGAGGTTCACATCATAATATAGCTACTGTATCCTATGGTCTTATTGACAGATGTTAGGAATAGTCTTTTACAATTAGATATAAGTACAAATACATTTGGAAGTAAATTTCTAATTAAGACATAATTCCAGAGCAATGATGCTAAGCATATATATCAGTAGTTCATTCAGATATGATGACTGAGGATTCCCTCTGAGCTAAAATCATTGGCAATGTTCTTGGTAGGATGTTGTTGTAAATAAAGTGAGTGTTGGACTATATAATGTTTATTATTATCCCTATAATTATTGTTATATTAGCCCTATAATTATTGTGATATTAGTTGACCCGCTATCACAAATAAGACACATACACCTGATAGATTTTATAATTGCCTTATTACCTTGGGCTGGGAAGATATTTCCTCCTATGTTATCTCAATAGCCTCACCATCCATCTCCTACCCTCTACCCAATGCCATCTGCTTTAATCATTTTTATCTGGGCTAGCTTCTGTCCATAATACCAAGGTACTTCCTTGTGTTCATCATCTGGTCCTTCTCACACCATTATTGGAGTCCTTTCTCTTGGCCCACATGGTTTATTCTAACCCATCTTGGCATCCTCCTTTCTCCTGCCAAACCTAGGAACCCTAACCACACCTGTTGTCCTTTAAAGCCTCAGAACCATAGCCACGCGTATGCAATTCTACCTGCCCAGGTATAGGCTGTTTAGTCAATCAGGCAGGTTTACACAACAAGGATAGGTTTAACCAGGAAGTAATCAGCATCAATAAACAAGCATCAGACCAGCCCCCAACAGTAGGAACAGAACCATGGCCATTCGTTCTCTAAAGAAAAGCACATCATAGATTAATGAACGCTTAGATGAGGGATATAAAAGAGAATGAGCAAGAGAAGCAGACAGCATACATGGAGCTTTTTATAATTTCTTTTCTGCTTTATACTCTTAGAATGGATACCCCCAAGCTGATGGACACATTCCTCCTTAGTCCTGAGGTTTGAGAGACACTGTTTGTGTATGCAGGATAGAGACTGTGTGAGTATAGTCTGTGCTCTGGGGTTGATCTCTGTTGCTTTTTGTGACTGTGCCTGTATTAATACAGGACTAGTTATCATCTAGGAAGAGCAGCTATAGACATTGCTATGGCATGTGTTTAACATGCCACAATGTTTAACACAATTTTGCCAAATTAAGAATGTGTAATGAGAAAAAAGATCACTGAAAAAAGATCCTGTAGAGGTTTAAAGTATACCCAAGGATCTTATCCTTAGTTTTTTTTTGTGTGATTCAAAATTATCTTAATGGTACTGGTGATCAATTGAACAATAAATGTCCCGAAATTAGCAGAGAGGAGGAGGGTGATGTTGGATCCTTGATGACTGCGGGTGCCATATGAGTCTATGATTGTGACTACAGGTCTAGGAGTCTGAGGTTCACATCACAAACTGTCTAGTGTATACCCATGATCTTAGGGGCAGACGGAAGAAGTGGTCACAGCTATGACCATCTGTTTTCTCAACCACTTAGGGATAAGAAGAAGTAGGCAAGGGAGGCAGGGAGAATGTATGGATAAGAGAACAGAGCATCACTCGTTTTATGACCTCTCCTGCTCTGCACTTTCAGAAAAGATGCCCCGCAAGCTGATTTCGTACAGTCTCACTTGGAAATGAACCTCGCGATCTAGCCTTTGTGTTTGTAGGATAGATATTGTGTGAGTATTGTTGTGTTCATACTTTGGTTTAGGTTTCCCATTGTATTGATGGAACACACGTAGAATATGGAAGCGCAGTCTTGCTGATAGGGTAAACATGGCAAGTGTGTGAGGCATAATGCTTAACAAAATTTGCCAAATTAAGATTGTATAATAAGAAATACTCAACAGGAGGAAAGATCGTGCAGGAGGTCTTAATTATACTTTAAGGATCATGCTGTTAAATTTTAGTGATTCATAATTATCTCAATAGTATGAGTAATTACTCAAGAACACATAGCAATTAAGAGAAAAGAGGAGAGATGATGTTAGATCAGTGATGACTGGTGGTGGCATATGATTCATGGATCACGACTACCGGTCTAGGAGTCTGAGGTGTACATCATAATATGTAACTTACACCCCAAACTCTGGCAGTTATGAGTGCTAATCTATTCTTACATTTAGTTTAAAACATTAATACAAATTTATAGCATATATTCCAATAAAGATGTCACTTCATAGGAAGAATATTAATAATAGACACCAATGTATGTTTGAGGATGCTGTATGAGTCATAATTAAAGGCAATGTTCATGGTGTGTCAGAGCCATGGCTATTTGTTTTCTCACGAAGTACACCTGTTAGTATAATACAGACTTGGACAAGAAGAAAGAAGCAAGACAAAGAAATAGAGGCCATGGATGAGTGAACAGACTATAAATCTTTTTATTGTTTCTTTTCCTTACACTCTCAGAATGGATCCCCCCCAAGTTGATTTACATGTCCTGTCTTCATTATAAGCTTCATGATCAGTTCCTTGGATTCATAATATAGACACTCTGTGAGTATAGTCAATATTCTTTAGTTGATTCATTTTGGTTTTGTGGCTGTGCATGTACTGATAGAATAAAGAAAACACTTATCATCTGAGGAGACCGTCCATCCCCAAAGGGTTAACATGACATGTGGACGAAACACAGTGTTTCACAAAATCTCCCAGATTAAGAATGTGTACCAAAAGAGATTCTAATTATCCCGAAAAATGCTGGGGCTTTTTGTCCTTAGATCTTGTCAGTTATAATCATCTCAGTAAAGTCCATAGAGAAGGATAGGGCTGAGGTTGGAAAAATAATGAGCACTGTTTGCACATGAGTCATGGGTCATGATCACACGTCTGGGTGTCTGAGTTCAGTGTTATTACATGTATAGCTTATACCTGTGTGTTCGGACATAGATGTTAAAGAGAGGTGGGAAGTGATGTTATTTTATTTCAATTGAACACTTTAAATATTGTTCAGTTGTTTTCTGAGCAGGAGATAATTCCACAGTAAGAGTCCTAAAACTACATAACAAACACAGTAGTTAATTCAGAATGAATGATTGAGGCTGCCAAATAAAATAATAGGATGCTTGGTAGGTCAGAGCCACAGCTATTTGTTTCTCACAGAGAACATATTATATTGTAACATACACTTAAATGAGTGATTAAAAGAAAGTGTCAGGGAATGCAGGGTTCTATAAACAGAATGTGAGTTGTTTTATAATCTCTCTGCTTTCTACTCTCAGAATGGATAACCCCAAGCTGACCTATGCATTCTCCCTTGATCTGAGCTTCACAGTCTGCTCGCTGTGTTTGTAGAATTGATTCCATGTAAGTATATTCAGCTCTCGTGTCTTGTTTTGCCTTGTTTCTAAACACTGTTCTCTGCATTGACCAAACCCTAGTTCTCACTTGGAAGAATAATCACAGAGAGTGCTTAAGGTGAAATGTGGGAGACCACAATATTTAGCAAATTTTTCCTATGTCAAGAATGTATAATGTCAGAGTTACTTGATATATGTCTGATGTAAGCTGAGGAATAATGGCCTTAGCTTATTTTGTGATTCACAATTATCTCAGTAACCATTTGGAAATTCATAGGGAAGTTGGAGGTGATGCTGAATTAGTGATGACTACTGAGGTCATGTGATTTGTGTGGATTATGACCACAGGTCTGCAATCCTGTGGACCATATCATTAAATACTAGTTTAAAGTCTTGTCGTCAGTGACAAATATTAGAAATAACCTACAGTTAGATAAAATAAATTTTGAAGGCATTTTCTAATCAAGACTTAATTTCACGAGACTATTAAAACGTATACCAAACATAATACTTCATTCAGATGTGATGGCTGATGATGCCACGTGAATTAAAATTATAGGCAATGTTTCTGGTAGAGTCAGAATAATGGCCGTTTGTTTTCTCAATGAGAGCATTGTAGTGCAATTCATATAAAAAGAGAGCAGTAAGACAAGCAAGCAGAGAGTATGAATGAGTGGACAGAATGCATAAACACAGTGGGAGGATAGTCAACATGCCTGTGCTGCGTCATGATTTCTTTTAGTGACAGTTCATGTATTGATTTAAAGAACCACACTTATCATTTGAGAAGAACAGCCATTGCCAAAGGGTTAATATGGCACACGGGTATACACAGTGGTTAAAAGTGTTTTTTTTTTTCCCTAGATAATTAATGGTGTGCAATAAAAAGGACACTAATCATGGCAAAAAAAAAAAAATCCTTGGAAATCTTCAGTGTATTCAAGGATCTTCTCCTTGGATCTTTGTGAGTCATAATTATCTCAGTAGTGGTAGTGGTCCTTGGGCCATAAACTACATCAATAGGAAAGTGGAGGGCTGATGTTGGATTAACGATGGCCGCTGATGCCCGATGAGTCATGGGTTGTGAATACAGATCTGAGAGTCTGGGATCTATAGAATTAAATACTCTGTATATACCCATCATCTTAGTGACAAATTGAGGAGTTTACTTTTACAATTAAAGAAAATGTTAGTACAGTTAAATTGGAAGTCATTTTTTCAGTCAATGTAATTTTACAGCAAGCGTCCTAAAAATGTATACCAAGCAGTTTTTCCTCTGGACTTGATGGCTGAGGATGCCATGGCACACCCCCTAAAACTATAGTCAATGTTCTTGGTAGGTTCAGTGCCGTGGCTGTTTGTTTTCTCAAAAACCAAACGGTGTACTGTTACGTAGAGGAGTGATAAGGAGAGGGCTAATTGAAAGTAGCCACAAAGTGAACATCAGTGATTCCATGTTCTCTTCTGCTTTGTGCTCTTAGAGTGGATAGCCTTCACCTGCTGTGTGTATTCTTCCTTGGCTGTGAGAGTCCTAAGATAGACACAGTTGTGTGTAGTCAGTGTTCATTCCATGGTTTTGGTTACTTTGAATGACTATACACAACTCTTGTTGAAATGCTACTCGTCCTCTGGAAGACCCACCTTGCTCAAATGGTAGGTAAAGCTTCTGTGGAAAACAATATTTAACAGCATTTTCCAAATTAATAATTTTTAACAGAAGAAAAGGCGCTGTAGATTTTTGATGTATACTCAAGTATATTTTTGTGCTTCATAATTATCTTAATAGCACTTTATTGACTGATGGCTCTATAGCTATATATATGTTAATAGAGGATGTGGATGATGTTGGATCAATGATGACCATGGGTGGCATATGATTCGTGGATCATGACTACATGTCTGGAAGTCTGAGGTCCACATCATAAAACATTTAGATTATATATGAAATCCTAGCAGCAGATAAAAAAAATGAAATAAGTTGGAAAGGCATGTTTAAATTTGATGTGACCCCACAGGACGAGTACCAATCAAATATACTAAAACAAAGTAGTTTTACTGACAGTACGTTTGAGATTGCTAAATGATCTAAAATTACAACCAATGTTCTTAGTAGGGTCAGAGTCCCTGCTATTTGTTTTGTTCAGAAGAATAAGATATAGTATAATGTACACTTCGATAAAAGGGGAGAGACAAGCAGAGAGAATTCATGGAAGGAGTGAGGCCAGTGTCCATGTTTTTGTAATTTCTTCTGCTTTGTACCCCAGAATGGACCCCCTCCCCCAGGCTGATTTTCACACTGGCTTTGGTTGTGATCTTCTTGATCAGCTGCTTGTGTTTGTAGTGTAGACACAGTGTAAGTATCGTCACTCTTCGTGTGTTAGTTTTGTTTGCAAAGTCATTCATTGCATTGACAAATGACTACCAGCTTAAAGAAGCAACTGTCCCTAAAGGGTTAATCAAACACAAGGTTTATCAAACACAAAAATTTTGAGAAATTAACAATATGTAACAAAAGAGATACTCATCATGCTAAAAGTTCCTGAGAAGGTCTGAAATATACTCAAAGATCTTGTCCTTATATTTTTTAACTCAGAATAATTTCAATAATACTTGTGATCAACACAAAATAAGAGAGAAGAGGAGGGCAGATGTTCGATCAATAATGACCACTTCTTGTGTATCAGTCACGGATCATGACAACCTGAGTGTAGCCAATATGTATGCCTTGCTTTGGGATACTTCCAAAGACTGTTTATTCTATTGATAACATCCTTGTTATTAAACTGGAAGATCAATCAACCTTATCCAAATAGTAAATCGGCATTTATATAAAAGAAAATTTTTGCCAAATTAAAAATATATGATTAACGAACTACTAAATAGAACAAAAGATCCCGTAAAGTACTGAATTCTCCTAAGAATATTTTCCTTGGGTTTTTGCGGAACATAGTTATGTCCGTATTACCAGTAATCCATCGCTCAACAAGCATTTAGAGTTTAATAGGGAAGAGAGGCCTGATTAATTTTTTTTTATTTATTGTGACCACTGATGGTGTATGTCTGGTGTCCTCTGAATAAGTATCTAGCTTTTACCCAGAACCCTGACAGAAGATATGTGTGGTAGTTTCTTTCTACAATTAGATAAAAATGTTAGTAAAAACAAATTGGTAGAGCTTTTAGTAATTGAGAAGTATCTCCACAGGCCAGAGTAATACAAACATACACTACACCAAAGTCAAGTTTATTGTGATAGCGCTGTTGATGGTGCCATGCGAACAATAATTAAAACCCATGCTCTTTTGCATCAGAACAACAGCCATTTGAATTCTCAAGAACACATGGTAGTATGAACCACACTTAGAGGAGGGCTAAGGGAAAGAAGCAAGATGAAGCAGATTGAATGCACAGACGACTAAACACAATGTCATCGCTATAATCTCATCTTCTTTGTACTCTTCAGGATGGATACCCCCATGTGATTTGCACATTCTCCATTGGTCCTGTGCTTTGTGATCAGCACTTGGGTTCATAGTATGTAGATACAGTGTGAGTATAGTCAGTGTTGCTGTGTTGATTGAGAGTCTGGAGGGCTGGTTCTGTATTGGTAGAGACTGCTTAGCAAAATGCATAAATGCATAGAGGAGGAGGGCTGATGTTGGATCTGTGATGACCAGTGGTGCAGTATGAGTCGTGGAACATGACTACAGGTCTGGGAGTCTGAGGTCCTCATCAGAAAATACCTAGAATATCCCCATCATTTCAGGGACAGATATTAAGAGTAGCCCACTTCTACAACAGTGAAAATACCCACCAAACAGTAGCTCATTCATACTTGATGCCTGAGGATGCCAGGCCGCATCAACTCACATTGGTAGGGTCAGAGGCGTGGCTGCTGGGTTTCTCAAAAAGGACATAGCCTAGTTTGTTATACACTTAGGTGAGTGATAAGAGAGGGGTAATTTCAAGCAAGGAAAAGTATGGACAAATAAACAGAATGCCAATCTTTGCATATTCTCTTCTGCTTTATACTGTCAGAGTGGATATTCCCAAGCTTGTTTCCCACATTCTCACCATGAGCTTTGTGATCCAATGTTTGTACTCATAGGAACACAGAGTGAGTACAGTCGTTTTGTCTTTTTTTCTTTCCTTTGTTTTTTTTTTTTTTTTTGTCATTCATACCTATTTACAGTATTGTTAAAATTTTCATCATCTGGAGGAGCTACCTCATCCAGAAAATAAATATGGCATCTGGCATATTTATGGCAGTATATCATTTAAGGACTAATTTAATAGTTTGTAAGGATAAAATATTCCACAGGGCTAATGACCTATAGATCTCTGAATTATACTAAAAAAAAAAATCTTGTGTTTTTTTTTTTAATTTTTGTGCCTCATAATTATTTTAATATCACAATTGATCAGTTGCTCAATATACATCAAGAAATTAATAGAGAGGAGGAAGGCTGATGTTGGGTCTGTGATGACCACTGCTGCCGTATGAGTTGTGAATCATGACTACAGGACATAGGAGCTGACTTGAGTCATTTTCTATTCTTACAATTATATATATAATATATAAATATTGTTTCAGTAAGTCATTTCTCAATTAAGGCTTCATTCCAAAAATGTACTACATATAGACCAAATATTACTGCAGTTTATGTAAGCATGATACGTGATGATGCCACAGAAAATAAAATTATTGGGAATGCTCTTCTTAGGTTCAGATCCATGACCATTTGTTTTGTCAGGAAGAACACATTATAGTGTACAATATATTTACATGAGGGATAATATGAGATGATCTAGACAAGTATACAGAATGTGGGAATATGTAAGCAAAATGTCAGACTTTAAAATATCTCCACTTTGTACTCTCAGAATGTTTAGCCTCAAGCTGATCTCTCTTTCTCTCTAATCCACTATTTGTGTCCATAGGATAGGCATCCTCTGAGTATATTCATTGTTCATTCTTGCTTTGAAATAATTTAAAGTCTGATTATTAATGAAACCCCACTTGTTGTCTAGAGCATCCATGGCCAAATTCTTTTGTTTTTATTATTTTATTTTTATTCTTCTCTCCTACATTACACCCTGACCACAGTTGCCACCCCTCCCCCATTCCTCTGCTCTCCCATAGATTTAGTCCCCCTTCATTTTCCTTCAGAAAAGAGCAGGCCTCCAGATATATCAAAGTAACATGGTTACAATAAGACCACACACACACTCTCATATCTAGACTATATGAGGCATCTCAGTAGAAAGAAAACGGACCCAAGAGCAGGCAAAAGAGGGTAAATGTTTGTGAAACATTGTTTAGCAATCAATTGTTCAGTAATCATGCCTAATTAATAGAGAAGAGGGGGTAGTCTGTGATGACCTCCGCTGACATGTGATTCATGGATCTTGAGTTAACAGTATGGATGTCTGAACTCCACATAAAATATCTAGCACAATAGCATGATCCTGGCAGCAGCTAAGAGATAAACAAAAATAAATTGTTAGGATATTTTCCACATAAGAGGTTCCTAATATAACCAAACACAGAACCCACACTTGTTCTAATCCCTTCTGCTTTGTACTCTCAGAATGAAAAACTCCAAGACGAATTCCACAATCTCCATTGTTCCTGAGTTCACAATGTAATGGAGACACAGTGTGAGTATTGTCAGCATTCTTACATTGGTTGGGTTACTGTGAAAGGCTGCTCCCTTTATTGATCATCTGGGAAGGTCGGCTCTTGACCAACGGTTAATACGGCATATGTATGAAATACAAAGTTTTGCCAGCTTAAGAATGTGTAAGAACAATCAATCCTGTGGAGCTCTGATATAGAGTCCCATGATTTGTAAATGTCTAAATAATACTAACAGTCAATTTCTCAACAAAACCGCATAAATTAATAGAGAGGAGGAAGCCTGATGCTGGATCTCTGATGACCACTGGTGCCGTATGAGTCGTGCATCGTGACTACAGGTCTGGAAGTCTGAGGTCCACATCATAAAACACGTATAATATTCCTCTCATCTCAGTGACAGATGTTAAGAGTCGTCCACCCCTACAATTAGATAAAAGATAAAAAATAAATTAGAGGACATTTTGCAGTCATAATTTATGGCGAGAGTGCTAAAACTATATCCCACAGACATTATTCCATCAGACATGATCAGTGAGGATGCCACATTTTAAAATATATTCAGTGTACCTAGTAGAATCATAGCCATGACACTGTGTTCTATCAAAAATGATAGATAGTTGTGTAACACATTTTGGGCATTAGAAGAAGGATACAATGATAAATAAGCATAATGCCAATCTTTTTATGATCTCTTTTGCTATATACTGTCAGAATGAATCCCACCAAGCTGATTTCCATACTCTCCCTTGGTCACGAGGCTCCTGATCTTATCTCTGCTTATAGAACAGATGCTGTGTGAGTACAGCCAGTGTTCTTGTTCTCTTCTGGGCTCCTTTTAAATACTCGTCCCTTTTATTGGATCATTGCTTTTCATCTCGGAGGAGCAACCATGGCCAAATGGTCAATATGGCATGTGTGTCATCATGCCTTCCTCCTGTCAGATCCCCCAGGCTCCTCCCTCCTGCCGTACCCATCCAACTCTGCCTACCTCCACCTCCCTGTTTGTTTAAGCAAATAACAACGATAGAAAACCACAAAATTCAGAATAGAACAAAGCAAACACAGAACAACAAAGAAGGAGAATGTACTTGAAATATTTCCATATCCAGAGACAAATACATACATAGAAAACCCATAAAAACACAATATTGGAAACCACTATATATATCCAGTATGGTTTAAAAAAATACCCAAAGATTAAAAACCCCCAAATATACTGTAAATTCTTTTAGAATTGGCCTTTCTTGAATGTCTAATAAAATGAAAGATCCCATGCAAATGTATATGGGCACAATAGGAACCTCTTCACACTCTGTTTTCTTTTGTACTATAAAAGCAGATTTCCTTCATTACTGGTCACCAGGTTCATGGGTGCCCAGTGTGTCAGGAGGATAGGGACAATGTGAGTCAAAGTCATTGTCTTGGTTCTAATTTTTTCCTGTTTGATAAAGGATTACATAGAACCCAAGGAGCCATGGCACAGTGAGAAAAATGATGTGGCATGAAATGCTTGTTTGACTAATTAATATTTTAAATGTAAGGTTGAGGTCAGGAGACATAAAAACACGAGGCAAAGGAACTTACATATAGATGTAAATTATTTTTAAATTATGTAATTTTTATTAGTGAATGAATGATCAGTTAATAAACAACAATCCAAGCTCATCAGAGAAACTAGAGGCCAAGGTTGGATGAGTGATGACATCTTGTTGGGTATGAGCCGTGGATCATGACACCTCAAGGCATCTAGTGTGCATGCTCTGAGTCTAGTTATACCTGTGAGATATGCTCAAGTGTTGTCTTTTACATTTTTGTGTTTTCATTAAAAAAAAAAAACGGGTCAATGAAAGACCCTTTATGGAAATATATAAATAAAGATAAAGCATGTCAGTATCATTTAGCATGAGAATCATGCCAATTGAGAAATGCTAATAAGCATGGATACCATGATACATACTTAGAAATGAGTGGCTTAATGGTATTACTAACTAAGGACAATGCATTTACTAAATTTTAATGTATATGGAGTCCTTGCCTTGTTCAGAGCATTTATTACTGTTTTATGATGTCAATCAAACTAAGACATTTTAGTTCCCACCCAAGTGACTAAGAACATGGAGGGGGAATAAAAGAATAAATGGATATAATATAAATTGTTGAAATTTTTTTTATGTGTGTTGTCAGCGTAGATGCTTTCTGATTACCACATCAACAGTTTCCTCCTACTCCGTGTGTCAGGAATACTGAGACCAACATGAGTACTGTCAAGCCCCGGGCCTTACTTGAAAGGGATTTTAAGTTTCATCTATTGGTAAAAGCACCACCCAAAATCCACTAAGACCAACTATGGTTGACTGAGAAATAAGAATAGCCATCAGATATTATACTCATTAATCAGTGCTTACAAAATTTAGAACAAAGAAAAAAGATCTTATCAAAGTATTTAAAGACATTGTAGATGACTTAAGAATCTTGTTCTTAACTCCTTGTGATTCATAGTCACCTAAGTGTTATCAGTAAAATGGCAGATTAATTAATAAACAAATGTATAAGTTAATGAAAACGGACCTATCTTGTATCAGTGATGACCACTGTGTTTGCAGTTCTGGTACTCAGAAGTCCACACTGACTCTTCGAAGTGGTCCTTTACACAGATAGAGAATAGAGTAAGCATTATATCATTGCTCACAGTATTACTGAATTAGAGTCAGAAGATTAAAAATACAAATGAGAGAGCTTTATACTATTGTTAAAATTACAGAATAAGAATGGAGGTACTTACTACTATATTTTGGAAGTGTTTTTTAGTAGTACCAATATATTCTTTTTGTCTGATATGCTTATAAAGGTAATGGGCACTACTCTTATTTTGAGTTAGTATAAAATTTAGTATTATTCTGTTTTTGATATGAAAGCAAACATGACTGAATAATTGGAAAGTACATTAAATGACCACTGAACAGCATCTTAGTTCTTTCTTGTCTGTTCTGTACTTCTCAGGAAGGCCAACTCCAGATCATGGATGGATCCTGACTCATCCTCAGCTCTAAGGCTGCCTGTGTTGTTAAGGTCACAGCTACACCTGTGAGTGATAATTACAGTAGAGTTGTGATGTGCTTACAATAATCAGGATAAGACAGTTGTAACCAATCATAAATATGTGATCTCACATAATATTGTACAAAGTTTGACTTCAGTTAATTAAAATATCTCGTTACCACTACCTACAATTTATACACAGTAAATACCACACATCTTAGACTCAAAAATCCAAAGCAAAGTAACTTGAGTTACCACCTCTGTTGGTAATAGTCCTATAGTTAGGTGGTGAAAAGATCCATGGGTCGTGTCATTGATTTTGATGTTGATAGGTTTGATTCTATTGTGAAAATTAGTGAAAGGGTCAATTAACATATGTAAATATCATCAGTTAGACATTATTCAATTACAAATATGACATGAAGGAAGACAATCTATCAACTTAGATTAAAATCAGTTAAACCAATTAAGTATGACATGGGGACAGTAATAGAGTGGTAGAGCAATTGCTTGGATGTTAAGGCCTTGGGTTTTATTCTCAGTACCACAAAATTAAAGAAATAAATAACGACAATGTTTAAGTATGTTACTTTTTGGCTAATGATTAAAACAGAGTCCATGAGGTAATCATGAGTATGAACAGATGAGTGAATAATAATAATAGCACACATTCAGTAATTTTTTGGTTATGAAAGCTACTGGACATCTGAATGATGGAGAAATTGAGGCAAGGCCAGTGAGAGCACTGTGTCATATTTTCAAACCATCTTTTTGCTTTGTGCCCTCGCTCATTAATGTGCTGAGGATGGCAGTGCTTGCCTCTGTGTTTGAAACCAATGAGTGTAGGAATGTCTTACTTGCTTGCATTTGCTATTTTTAAAGTTATTCCCTCTAACCTTGGAGCACTCAGTCCTAACTGAGATGTCTCCATCTAATCCCTCCCTTCAGGGCTCAGGGAACTCTATGGAAGAGGAGGTGGAAAGATTGTAAGAGCCAATGGAAATGGAAGACACCAAAGAGACAAGGCCTTCTAGCCACAACAGGACTGGTGCAGAAATCAAGTCATAGAGACTGTGGCAACATGCACAGGCCGTGCACAGCTCTAAGCCAGATGGGGTCCTGGCACTGTGAGGGGAAGTGGACACAACCCCCTATCTATAACCCAGAAACTACCTTCACTTGATAAACTCTCTCAAAGCAAAGACTAGTTTTTTCCAATGGAGTACCACCGGACATATAAACCAGGACATATAAAGCACGCTCCATGGTCCCGATGGCCAGCACAAAATGAACTCAATGGCATTTTTGGAGATTTTCGAGACTCACAATGCTTTGAGTATTTTTTTTTACCCTACTGATATTTTGCTCATATATTATGGTTTCTGATGGCTTTTTCTCTGTATGTGACTCAGCTTATGGATGTGTTCCTTGTGATTTTTCCTTTGGCTCTATTTCTTATTTTGCTTTGTTTGCTTTGATTTCTCTTCATTATTTGAGATGTTTTTATTCTAATGTAAGAATGAAAGAGTAGGTGTGGTGGGTGGAGAAATGGGTAGAATGTCAAAGGCTAAATTGTAATACAATTAGTTTGTACAGAATTTTAATAAAAATGGGTTTCCTCTATGACTAAAAAGGTGTGAAGTATAATTACTGAAAGTCTACAAAAAGGAGCAAAAGAAATATAAGTAAATAATATGAGTCAGTGGATCCTTACCCAATTGTATAAACCATATCATGAGATAAATGATGTTGATAATAGTGAGGTCTATGTGGTATGCAGGTTGATTTGACCCGAACATAAAAAAGGTAACAGCAATGATTTTACTACCAGAGGAAAAGAAGAGAAATAGTTAAGTGTGGTGTCTTTTTGTCTATGAAAAGTTCAGAGTGTGTTTGTGTCTCTACCTACATGGGGAAGCTCAGTACTTGCTGGGTATCCTCAAGGCCTTGCTTCTGTCTCAGTTACCACAAGAGAAAGTGGTCATAGATGGAAATGCATCTTCATTTTAATGGCCCTATCAACATTGATACGATCTATGAAATATAATTGAGCAAACATAGCCATCTCGAGTGTAGAATTGATAGGCGCTGTTAGTCAGTACACATATGGAGCCTTGTGGGTCACAGCAGCAGAAAGCGCCTTGATCGAAGAAGAGCTTCATGTGTATTTGGAATGTATTAGTCTGTAGACTTTGGCTTGTCCGCAGGGAGCTGCTGAGTTAACTGGTAACATGGCTGGGTAATAAGAAGTGAAGGAGCCAGAACTCTGGATCGATACAGCTGCAGGTGTGAGTCAGAGGTGGGGAAGAGTGTCTGCAACCCTGAAGCCAGATAAAATAATTCTAACCTTTGCCCACGTCAAAAGAGATGTTATAGGTCGATTTGGGAGTTTGTAAGGATCTTGTCTGAGTTTACTTTTCACAGGTTTTGATTATTTTGCAGTCAGGAAATCAATAAGAGAATGTACAATGAAAATACTTTGTTGAACACGTTAAAGAGGTATGTTTTTATTGTAAGTAATTCCTAAATATAAAGAAACAATGTACAATTATAAATAAGTTAAAGTGAAGGGGATATAATATCTAATTATAACAAAATGAGAAAGAGTACACTAATTATTAATACTATTAATTCTAATAAATAGTGATAATTAGTTGGGATAAATGTTCAGTAATGTTTCTTGTGGCTAATAGTTATGGCAGAGAATCTAAGTGATGCTGCTATTCTTGAATTGGGTTAATGTTGTCTTGTTATTCCTAATAGACTATAAAATCTACATTAAGCTAAATCAGATACATAAAAGTGATTGAACAGGGACACAATGATACCGGGAGCAATGGAAGAAATGTCTCACTTTTATCAGTGTCCACTTTGCCATTTAGTGAGGTTGAGGCTACACTTTTAGAAGGGAGTATGTCTGTGTCCATTCTGAATGTGTACAGCATGGCAATGAGTCCAGTTAATGCCAGTGTGCACTCAAACTACACTGTACAAAAGTGAACAAAAATGGCCCGTAGATAAAATACATCATTTCTGCTCATAATGTAATTGGATAACAGTGACTACTACATTAGACATCACAATACAGATAGGAAGTGCAAAGCCTGTAACACATGTCGCAAAGTCAGAAAATTATTAAAATATATTACTTCAAATCCGTACGCTTAAGTAACTTGAAAAATGAACATGGGTGCTGTCTTTATCTCCTCTAACTCTCTTTTGCTTTTACGTTCTAGGCTGAACATGTGAACTGGCTTCTGTGTTCTGCAGGTTTCTGGCCCCCACCTCTGTGGGTCGGAGCATTCTGTCCAATGTAAGACTACTTGGTTTGAAATGTTTAAAGTGTATTCATTGCTGCATTTAAAGTAATTTTTAAAAGCCAAGTATGGTCCAAAGGATGAATAGGGGTTGTCTGAAATATCTTGATTCACTGCTATGGATAACAAGGAGGATAATTGATGGGGCGGGATTTTTTTTCAATTAAATAGTAATTCTAAAGGCAAATGGCAGGGATGTTGAAAGATTATATCCTTGAGTTTTTGTGATTAATTCATTTGTTATTAGTAAATCAATGAACCATTCAATAAAAGCTTTAGATGAGAATGAAGACCAGCCTATCCCCAAAACAGTAATTGTGGCACAGTGGCATAGGGCTCCTTCGTTGTCGGTACTGTCCCTCCGGAAGGCAGAGGCTGATGACAGGCCTGAACTCACTCAGTTTCTGTCCTGTTACTAATCCTGTGGAGGACTGTTAGGGATATACTATGATCTTCTTTTATTACACTTATTTATTTGTCTTGGAGGGGGTGTGGCAGTTTGTCAGGCCAGTTTTCTCCTTCCACCTTCTGGGTCCCAGAGACTAGGCTAATGTCATCTGGCTTGGTCATCTTTCCTCTGCCCACTAAGCCACCTCATTGGCCACGGTCTTTGTTTGATTCTATTCTAAGTTATTTCTAGCCCAATAAACATGAAGTAAAGAAATCAAATTTTTCCCTACCATAAATACATGCAAGGAAGCATGAAATATTAATATAAACAGTGTCTATTGATATGTTTTAAGAAAAAAACATGGTCCAAAGATCCAATCATACATAACGTACTGAAACACAATGCTTAATGCTATATGTGTCATACACACACATGCAGATACACGCAGATGATCACTTTGATATAGGTGTTTATGATGTGAAATGTTTAATAACGAGTACATTGGAGGAGAGAGGACCCTTTGGGCATGGTCTTTCTCACCTTTGTTGTCTTTTCTCTAGGGAAGGAGAGTTATGGCTTTTGGAGGACTCTGCCATGCTGCTTGCTTTGTGGGTGAACGCCATAGAGACCAATGTGAGTGAGAAATAATGTTCATATCCTTGTAAGTTTTTCTACGAGTATTTATTATGTTATCAAAACTGTAAAGAAGTCTTGGCCAGGACAACTGTGGAAAATGAGAAAGATGGAATTAGCATGAAATATTGCATTCATAAATTCACGGATGATAACTTGTGAACACGATATGAGCATGGCAGGTGATGCTAAAGGCATGACAGTTAGTCATTGCTCTTAGGTTGCATGAATCATTGTTTTTAAAACTAGGACCATTGAAGTCATTACTTGTTTCATAAACACATGTAAATGAGTGAGAATAAAGGGGTTCGAATGAGGACCAGTGACGGCAGTACAATGCTAACGAGTTGAGATGCTGAGGTCCAGTTACACAATGGATAAAATTTCGTGTGTCTGTAAGTGGCTCTGGACATAGGCACTGGGAAAACAAGAGTCACATTCTTAAACTGTACAACTATATGCACATAAATTATACAGGTATACATTAGGCAGTGAATTTTATTGGGAAATACATACAATCCACATATCTTATTTCCTTAAGAATGGCAGATATAAATAATAAAAGTTTGTTTTTGCTGGTTTTCTTTAGAGGAAACTAGCAAGTGTTTTCCCACCTCCCTAGGAGTGGCATGCCTGGGCCAGTGAAAGCTGGCTAGATCAGTGAAGTCTTACTGTCACTTTGTATTAATTAGTTAATAATACAGTATGATGATTAGTCAAGTAAGTATGTAAGACAACAAGTAATTGTCTAGATGATAAGCACATTTAGGGCCCTTGCCATTGCGGTTTTATCCATCGTGCTGATTACACTGATAATAGTAAATTAGTAAATTAAACAGTAATCACATGAAGAGTCATAACCCAGAACCATTGTTATACTGGTCACATGGGAGTCATTAAAAATGAGTAATTCGTGTTTGTACTTTAAGGCATGAACATATAGACAGCTTTCAGGAAAATACAAGGACTTTACTCACAGTTTTGTGTTCATCAATAAAAAAATACTTTTTTAAAAAAGATAATATTTAAAATGTTTTTCTTTTGGAAATTTCATACATTTATATGATTCATCTAGGTCACATCTACCTCCAATCACAGGTTCTTCCCAATTTCATGTCTTTTCTTTAGAAAAATAAAAACTTTTAAATATAACTCATTGGGTTTCATTAGTTTTGCCCGTATGTGCATGGGACTCAGGGCATCCACAGGGCCATGGACACCCTACCAGTGACTGTATCTTCTTTCAAAGTAGCAGTTGTTGAACAAATAAACCCATTTTATTAATAAGAGCATGAGAGGTACGGCACTGTTTGATGTGTCAACGCATAGTAAATAATTATAATAACACTGATTCTAACGGGAATGATTGGGCAATGGCTGTTTAGTGGCGGTTTAGTAGTTCTTCAGCTGGGGAGGAGATGGGTGGTTCCCAGTCACAGTTCATGGTTGCTGTCATATGCAATCCCATTTATCATTTTGGTAGAAAACTTTGGCTATTGCGCGTTAATGGATACCTACATGACTGTGTTAGCAAATGCCTAGAAAAACTGTTCTTTTCTTTGTCGTTTCTACTTGGCCGTCTTCACGATGGACATACCGACTGCTGGACCATCTTTTGGGACTGAGATCATGGAAGAACCATGTGAGTTACTAAGGTCTTGTTTTGATTTGGGGCTTTTGTTCTAAAACATTTTGATGCTTTTCGTATGTATTAAATATGAAAAGTTCTATTGCCAGAGAGCAATAGAAGTTGAAATGTTGTGATGCCTGATAATGACCAGTGCTGGATTCAGCAAGTGAAGAAAATATATGAAGGATCTATATGTCCTGGCCTCGGGTTTTCTGAACCATGTGTTTATCTCAGTAGAATCCGTGAACAAATAGTTTGTTCAATAAAAATGCAAAAGTCAATGGGGAAAGGAAATCATCTTAAACGTGGATTAATAATGACTAGTGATTTGGTATGAATTGCAGCAATCAGGTCTGTGTACAAGAGCATCTAGGCTGCTAGCTGTTTTTCTGGAGAGGTTATCTCAGTGTTGATTTTGCCTTCTCTGCTTTGTACTTCTCGGTATGTAACCCTTGTACTGCTGCAAGAAGCAGCGAGTGCCATAGTGGCTACTCTGTGTAAGAGTGGGAGCAAAATGACAAAGAGACGCGATGGTATGAGTAGGTCACCCTTTAAAGACACCCAGTGACTGTTGTTTGGTAAGTAACAAGTGTAATCACAGAAGGCCAATGATGGCCAATGAAATTATAGATTGTTGTGAAACATTGTATTG